CCTAATAAAGTCTATTTCTTAATAGTAGTGTTTACTTTCAAGAATTTATATAGAATCTGGTATATCATGCTCTTCATTATGTATCATCCTAGAGTACATCTTGACCCAGTATAATCCCATATGGGTTTGTTCTTGTCTAGTGTTATAGTTTTCTATTGTTTTTATATTGCAGCTTAGTCATGAAGAGATTAATGAGATATATGGCAACCGACATATTGGTCGTGATCATGCACGAGAACTTGTGGGCTTGATGGACTTCTTCTGTTTCAGTGAGGTTTGTGTCTTAGTAATTGTACCTCTAAGGAAGTTTTCTTAGCATCTTATTAATTATTGATTGTTTATTATTAAATAAATAATAAGCAAGCACACACACGCTCATTCAAAATGCTAAAAAAGTTAATCTGTTTCATTCAGTATTTGAACTTTTCATAGACATGCTGGTGTGAGTTAAACCTGTCCAATGTGAATGCCCACACAAATACGATATAATTGAGACTGATGTATTCTGAATTACATAAAATATTAATGTAACTATCTAGTTTTACATATTAATGGAAAATTGGCAACATTATCATCTTGATTTTAGATGGTTTTCTTGTGCTACATTCAGAAGGCATACCACACTGGTTCTAGCAACTGCTTGTATTGTAAACGGGTGCTTGGATTGGTAAATTGTAATGCATTTTTAGTAAGTTTGTCATCCTCACATTTCTCCATTTGCAAATTTTCCCCTGCAGGCGTGCCTTATAGCTGATATTGTTCAACATTTTGTCGATGCTAAATTGGAATTTGATGCTGCTTATATCTATGAAGATGTTAACCGAGCTATACAACATGTTCACAAAAGTCATTTGGTTCATAGAGGAATTCTTTCTGATCCCCAGAAGTATCTGGTGAAGAATGTAAGTGAAGTACAAGTACCTTCTTTGACTCATAATGCTTGCAGTCGAGTTTATTGCAGATCTATTGACTTGCTTTCATTTCCCAATATGTTTATGATCATATGATCCAGGGGCAGCTACTTCGCTTTTTAAGGAAGCTAAAAGAGAAGGGGAAGAAACTCTTCTTGTTAACCAACTCTCCTTACTTTTTTGTGGATGGCGGAATGCGTTATATGCTCAAAGTAATACCATTTTCATTTCATTTTTTTCTGAAATAGATAGATATGATAGTGCTTGCTATTTTGCAATACATTAAGTAAAACATGTCAATGATTGAGAAAGAGTGTGAGCTTATGAAATTGTTTCTGTATACCCACAAATTTCTGTCTCAGATTTCTACTTCTTTGGTGTTTTCTGCTATATATATTTTTTGTTCTACTGAAATGCAACAATATGATTTTAAAATTAGATTTTAATGAGGTAAAAATGCCATATGATGCAACAGTCACAACTGCAAAACACATGAAATTCATCTGGTTTTGCTGTTCATGCATTTTCAGTCTCTTCAATGTATTAAAGAGCAAATCTTGACTCCATGAATGTTCCTCCTATAGTATTCTTGTAATATCTTTTCTTTCTTTCTTTTTTTCTCTAGTAAAACACAAACCTATAAGTTTCTAAAACTAGTTTTGTTCTTCACGTCTTATTAGGATTCGTTGGGTCAGCAAGACTCGTGGAGGGAACTTTTTGATGTTGTGATTGCTAAAGCAAGAAAACCAGATTTTTACACATCTGAGCATCCATTTAGGTTTGTAGCTCTAATATTCTTATTTGTTGATATTTGTATTAAATTTGTCTGCCTTCCACCCTATCACCCAAAACAACCTATTTACCCCAGCTTTCTAACAGTGTACAAATATTCATTTCAGTAATGTGAGCATTAAAATTGGGCATACAGTTGCCTTTTTTATGCATTTCTTTTGGCTGCATGGGATACTAAATGTGCTTGTTTTTCGTGTCGGGTTTTTAATGCAGAGGTTATCATGTTGAGGAGGACACATTAGCATTTTCAAAGGTAGATTCTTTTCTTCCTGACAGAGTTTATTACCATGGGTGCCTTAAAACGTTCTTGCAAATCACAAAGTGGAAAGGTCCAGAGGTATTCTTTATTTACTTGAGTCTGTCCACTAATATAATATCCTCATTACCTCTTTGCTTCTATTTAGTTACTTAATTAATTATCTGTACAATTTTAGGTTATATATTTTGGGGATCACCTATTCAGTGACCTGAGAGGGCCTTCAAAAGCTGGTTGGCACACTGCTGCTATCATCCATGAACTGGAAGTATGCCTTCTTTTATCATTTCCCATTTTGATTTGAGGCCAATAACATTACTAGTTTTACGTATCTCACAATAAAAGGATGTGCCTGCAATGAATGATATTCCATCTTCCTAGATGGAAATTTAGGACAGAACCCTAGAAAAAGGTTGTTTTGGGCTGATGGGAAATTATGCCATATTAGTTGCTTGAGTATATGCACACAATCTTTGTTTAACATTTTACAATAACTTTCTTTCCATGTCTTGTTTTTTTTCAGAATGAGATTACTATTCAAAATGATGATAGTTACAGGTTCGAACAGGTATCCTACATGCAGTTTTATCTATACTCCGTATTTGATTTGGAATGAACATATACATTGATACTTGTTTTTGGAAATAATGTTCCGTAAACTTTACATTTGCATCTGTTTTGTACCATATGGGTATTATAACGTGCATTTGTATGGTATGTGTATCTACTCAGTGCATGTCAATTGTCAACTCCAACACCCACAAACAACATTTCAAATCCAAACAGGGTTTTTATTTGTTAGCTTTCATCTAATAACTTGCACTTGGTGCCTGCATTCTTCTCAATTTATAGTCACATTTTCATTTTTCTCAACAAGTTTCCTATTTATTTTGCATTTGCAGTAGGTAACTTTCATTCCACCCCAACCCTTGTAGATTCCTTCAATATTTTGGCAATGTTGTTGGTTGTATTTAGCCCATGCATGTAAAATACTCGAAAAAGGTGATACTTGTTCCAGCATTTATCAACTTCAAAGTTCATTAACTTCATTTCATGTTAAATAGTGCCACAAAAAATCCTATGGGTACATCTATTTTGAGTTATATCTTACAGAGTATAACCATGGCAACATGGACATTAGAGTGTTGTGACTTTTTTTATATTGCTTTCTGAAAATGTAAAATCATTTAAGGATATATGAGAGACGCATGAATGGTTTTGTGCTTTAGATTAAACTTTTTTTTTCTTTGCAACTAATGGTTTGTATACCATGGTTTCCGTATTTTTTCTTGTTATCAAGATAACAAATGTCTGTCATGTGGTGTTATTAGCTAGCTCACGGTCGGGAAGCTTATAATCCTTATGTGCTATCTCTTTCCATTTTCTTGCTTTTGGTACAGGCAAAGTTCCATATAATTCAAGAACTTCTCGGTAAGCTTCATGCTACAGTTGTCAATTGCCAGAGCAGTGAAGCATACAAGTCCCTTCTTTGGGAGCTCAATGATGAGAGACAGAAAGCACGATTTGCAATGAAAGAAATGTTTAATAGGTCATTTGGAGCTACGTTCCTCACTGATTCCGGTCAAGAATCAGCCTTTGCTTATCACATCCACCAATATGCCGACGTGTACACCAGTAAACCCGAGAACTTTCTGTACTATCTGCCTGAGGCCTGGCTTCACGTGCCTTCGGATATAAAAATACTGCCTCACCATGTCAAGGTATTGTTTCCTTCCATGTTGTATGAAAATTGCTTAGACTTTGAACTTGTAGATAAATCGAGTGTTTTTTAATTCGGCTTGACTCACCTCAAGATGATCTTTGTAGGTGAGGTTTACCTCACACTTACATGTTATCATACTTAAACTCAATTGAGAATTCATGTTTTCCTGCAGGTTTCACCAGACTTGTTCAAGAATTGAGCGTCCTAAGATGCCGGAGCCGTGTGGAGTCGGTTAAGCCAGGACATTACTTATCTCTGTAGCCGCTTTTGGTGCCATTTTATAGGTGGTGGCTTTAGATTCACAGGTTCTACTAAGCTACCCCTCAAATAAATGTTAGTCTTTAGCTTTTGCATCATTTCCTTGTTATTTGTTGTCTCTATGGTTTTTATTATTTGAAGCTAAATCAAGATAGTATTACTGAAAGACTCGCATTTTAGAAATGTACAATTGAAATCTATCATAAACTTTTAAAATCTAGATTGAATACAACTCTAATGATTAGGTATTCCATAAATAATCCTCAATTCTTAAAAACTATTCTATAATCGGTCCTTCAAAGACAATTTTTGAAAAAAAGTATTCTCTCATATTTGGCCTAAAGAACTAATTATGGAGTAGTTTTCCAAAATTAAGGATTATTTATGGAATTTACTCTTTTATTTTATAGAAAAAGATTACTTTAAAAAAATAAATTGAACCAAATTTAAATAAAAAGGAAAGAAAGATAGAAGCATCATTTTCATGCATATTGCAATCTTATGTAGCAAGTTGGCATTATACGGAGTACATCCTTGTTGGTTGTTGTCAAGATAATAATCATTACCTTTGTTTTGAATACTTCATAATCATTCACAATTTTAACGGTGGTTCTTCTTGACAAATGTAACCATAGAATCAAGTTGTGACAAAGAGATGGTTTTTTTTTTTACCCGGTACGCATCAACATCAATTAATCACGTACCCGGGTAAATTTTTTCTAAGGAACATAAAAATTTCAATTATTCAGCAAAGAAGCAACAAGAATGTTAGAAGTTCTACAACCAAATGATGAAGAAAAACATTAAATGACGAACCGGAATAATTTTGTAGTCGACTCCACATAATGGGATAAGGCTTTGTTGTTGATGTCAGTTACATGAACTAAAAGAAGAATCATATTAGCCATTCACAAAATATAAAAATCAAATTCACTATCTTGGTATAATACAACTAATAATCTTTCGGTTATTTATTGCTCTTGTCTAATCACATCAATAGCATTTTTATGGTGCACATCAAAATACCCTCCAAATTCACTTAGGGGCTGTTTGGCAACTTCTGAATAGGTAAGTGCTGAACGAGTAAGAGGTCTGAACCATTAAGTGCTGAACCAGTAAGAGGTCTGAACCATTAAGAGCTAGTATATTGCTTAACTATTCAGAGGCAAATGTCTGATCAATTCAGATAAGAGGTCTTAACCATTCAGACTCTGTATAATACTTAACCATTCAGAGGCAAATGTCTTAACCATTCAGACATCTGAACCATTAAGAGGCTGAAACAATCAGTCTGAACCATTAAGTGCTGAACCATTCAGACATCTGAATCATTAAGAGGCTGAAACAAACAGCCCCTTAGTAGTTAGTACTACCCAACTACCTACTACTCATTTTGGTTTTCTATGCATATTTTATCATTTTATGTTATACTTCGTAGATAACTTGTTTTCAATTTATTTTTATTACTTACTATCTCCGTCTTGGTTTTGACTTTTTTCAGTTAATCATTTTTAATATTTGACCTATAATTAATTGAAATACCCTATATTTTATATATTAATTAGATAAAATAATATTTTGAAAATATTTGATATAATAAATCTAACAAAAAACTAATTTTGTATCAATATTTAATAACGTTTTTATTTAATTTAGAGTCAAAATTTACCAATTCTGACCGAAAAGTCAAAAGTAGAAAAATACTCAGGAGCAGAGGAAGTATTATTTTTTATTGAAAGCAGATTAGATTAAAATTAACTTTACATATAACTATAATCAAATCAGACAAGACCAGAATTTATTTCAATCTGATCAGCACCAATCACATTAGGTGATGAAGAGAACACACCCTAAATTAAAACTTGTTGCAAGGCATATGACTTATCCTACATTAGTTGTATGGGCAAAAGATGAGAGATTTAATTAGAGAGCAAATGAACACTGTCAAGTGACAAACTAGTCTCTTTGAATCAGTTCTCATGTTTAATATAGAGTTTATATTATACATCTGAATGCATTTAGAGTTTGATATCCAACAATTATTCATTTTGAATCAATGTAGTGCTTATTCCAACCTTGTTTTGTATAGTGTTTTTATTCTGAAATAACATACCTTCTATGTTCCTTAAGGTTCTTCCCTTATTGATTTTTTGAGAATTTAAAAAATGAATATTTTTGTGTTGACTTTACAAAAATATCTTTGATGTGATGGATAGATTATTAGTAAAAAGATATGATATGATAGGTAAGATAATAATTAGTAAAGGTTAAAGTGATTTTTTAATAGAATAAGAAAGAAGTTTATGAGACAAAAAAAAGGAGAAGTTTAAGGAGTTTAAGGGACAGATGGAGCTAAATAAAACATTTTTTAATTACAAATTTTATGAATTTAATTAATTTAATGAAATCACTTGTAATTAATTAAATACGTGTCCAAGACTCCAAGTGTCTCATGAAAAGGTCAACTCATTAAAGCGTGAGTATATTTCTTTGAAGCGTGTGTGTTTTTTGTTTTTGTTTATGACAACTGGCTTTAATTTAGAACCTTCATGATAAAAAAAATCTATCCCATAAAAAATGTTTCATGCATGACATCATTCACATGTTAAATCTTTACTTTTTTTCTTTAATTATATTTGTTAAAATAATGCTGGATGTATATTCGTGGAACCTGTTATTTTTTATATACACCGGTGGATAGATTTTATGATGTTCTGGTTTTTTTATATATATAACTTTCTATTTTTGAATTTTAATTACAAAGCACAAAAACATTGAAACAAATTGATGTAAATTTTTTTTTAGTCAAACTTGATTATCATCATTGAGATCAGAGTACATATCGGACAAAGGGAGCTAAGTGAAAAAGAAAAGAAAAAAGTTTGCCTTATACGGAGTATATAATTAGTTAGTCCCAAGACATTAAAATCAATTGATTCATTTTTACCGCGATATAATTAGAGCTTGTTTGGGAATAACGTCAGCATTCTAAACAATTTATATATTTACAGGCAGCGTTAATCTATTCAAAGTTAATCTGCACCGTTAAAATTTTATTCAAAACGGTAACGTTAATCGAAAACACTATTCTCAAACGGACACTTAAGCATTATGCTACTCCGTACAATAATCTATGTTTGATACCACGAATTATAGGGAGTAATTAACTCTCATAGTGGATTTATTTCTAGACCATGCAACAATTTGTTTTCACAAATAATTCTTTTTTTTGGGGAACAAATTTAAAGAGAAATTTGAATGTCATAATTGTAGTTTGGTAGCCTTACTAATAATTGAAAGGATGACATCTTCCATATTCAATAAATGGACACTTCATAACCGTTAACTTGCAAACAAGAAAGCATGATATTGCAAGTAGCTTAACGAGTGCCGCGTGACAATAATAATAATAATAATAATAATAATAATAATAATAATAATAATAATAATAATAATAATAATAAAAATAATAATAATAATGCTTCATTCATTCGTTTCAAAAAATTAAAGAATGTCACAATTCACTTTTCAAAAATTATAAAAAAAGTTGTTAAAATTTAGTTTATTTGTATGCTTCCGTCAATTATTTAATAAAATAAAATATTTTTGTTACCTTCTATTTGAGTTGTGAATACTTCATTCTTGTTTTTCTTTCTATGCTATTACTCTCTCCGTCTCAAAAATATAAAAAAAGTTAAAGAAAAGTATTGAATTATAAAACGGAGATGATTTATATTTGTTGAAAATAGAAAGAAATATAATGAGACCTATATTTCTTTTCAACATTAAATGAAACAAATATTAAATTTATTTTAGAATGAAGAAAAAAAATAAATGTCCTCCATAAATAATAAAACCAACCATTCCGGACTCAAAAATAACCCAAACCCGAAAATAAATGGACGGCCCCCAAACCGAATGGGATTTGCAGGCCTAATTAAAACTGACCACCGACCTGTTGCCAGATAACAGCTTATGCTCCCCCATTTCTTGGCCCATCTTTTTGACATTAATAAATAATAAATCATCTGTCCTCTTCAACTTTTGACTTAGCCCACATTTACCTCCTCGTCCGTGCCGGGCACAAGACAACTTTTGAAAACACTAAATTAAGGGGAGTGTATTCAATTAGGGTTTTATTAGATTTTTTTAGATTTCAAAAAGTTAGTAGATTTGGAAAATTTGTAAAATCCATGTAGAATTTGGTTGATTTTTTGTAGAATCCATGGAGAATTTAAAAATTTTGTGGAATCTTTAAAATCCATGTAGAATCCGACTGGCNACTGGCGAGTGGAAGGACGGAAGATGAAAGATCGAGAGAAGCCGAAGAAGATGACATGAGGATAGAAGAAGATGACAGATCCAAGAAGGTGGATGCCGATTCAAACCTCTGGACGATCTTGTGCGAATTCAGCAAGGAAACTTCCGGATCCAGATCCAGAGAGGCCCTTGATCGCGTGCGTCACTTCCTGGCCGAAAGCTCCTCCTACAGATCTGCCGCCGGACACTGTGATCTTGAGAGAAAGAGAGAGAGGATCGGAGACCATGGGGTGACGACCGCCGGATTCTTAAAATCTTTGGTTTGGAGTAGGGATTTGTTTATAGACTTTTTATTGAAATTTCCATCTTCAAATCCATTAAAATCCATGTAGAATATAAATCTTTAAAAATTCATTAAGTGTTGAATATCTTTAGATTTAGATAGAATTTTTAAAATCCAAATTCAATACAACCAAATTTTAAATGACTTTTTAAAATTTGAATTGAATACATTTAGATTTTAAATGACTTTTAAAAATCTGAATTGAATACCCATAGAATTTTAAAATCCAAAAAAATCCTTTAAAGTCCAAGTTCAATACACCACCCTAAGATAATATTGTGATTTATTTTCCCACTCTTTAGTCGCGTCGGAGTGAAAAAAAGTGTCTGCTTTGATTTACGATATTTGACTGAAGTTATTTTCGATACAACTTACTTAGAAATTGGACTGAAATTTAGTAAAATTTAAATATTAAAAAATTGAGTTAAGTGCACCGTTTATCCCCGAATCCTTTGAAAATTGCATGGTTTACCCTCGAACATTAAAAAGTGCACCAAATACTCCTGAATTTTTCAGAAATTGCACGGTTTACCCCTGAACAATAAAAATTGCACCAAATACCCCTGAACTTTTCGAAAATTGTATTGTTTACTCCTAAACATTTAAATAAAGAAGACAATTTTGGGTAAAGGTACTTTGGAAAATTCACAATGGTCAGATGAATGATATTCGCAATTCTTGTGCGTGGAAGCAACACCCTCCCTATCTAAAAGTTTAGGACCAAGATGCAACGTTTTAATTTGTTCAAGGGTATTTGGTGCATTTTTTAGTCTGTAGGGGTAAATCGTGCAATTTTCGATGAGTTTAAGGGTAATCGGTGCACTTTTTAAAGTTCAAAGGTAAAACATGCAATTTCTAAAGAGTACGAGGGTAAGCGGTGCACTTAACTCTTAAAAAATTACATCAAAGATTGTTAGAAATAAAATGTGACATGATTGTATTATTTTATCAAACGGATAACAAAAATAGGACTACAAAATGAATAAACTTTGATTATGTGAACAATAAATATACAACTTAATTTGGGATGAAATGAGTAATTTATTTTATCATAATCCGTCATGCTAGAGTGTAGGAACGTCTGGAGTGGATGTTCCACTTTTTTTTTAAATCTCAATGCTAAAGATGACTCAAGTATAAAAACCTTGAACACTCTTTTTCTAGATGCCAATGATTTCGAGGCAACAAAATATTGAAAAAAGTCGTAAAGGCAAACACGTTTACTTTGCTTTCTTTAATTTGGCACTTGTCACGGGTTCAAGTCTATCTCAACCAGATTGACAACACCGTATTTATGAAATACGGAGTAATTAGTTTCTTTTTAAAAAAATACTCACTCTTTCGGTCTCACAAAACATTATCCATTTTGATCATAAATTAAATATAATACTCCCTCCGTCCCTAAATGGATTACAATTTTTTTTCTCTCTCCTCTCGATAACTTTTGTTTGTTTACTCGATTTCATTAAATATTTGATAAAATAAAATATTCTTGTCACCTCTTGTTTTGTAGAACTTTTAACGTAGTTTTTTAATATCTAATTTTTATATCTTATTGATATACCAATTTGTAAATAAAATGATTTCAAAAAATAGGAAATTTTACTCCGTAACCCGCAATTTGTAATCAAATTGGGGACGGAGGGAGTATAAATAAAGAAATGTTATAAAAATTTGACCAAATTAAATATTATTTAAAATGTTTGACCAAATACTATTCAAAATAGGCAATCTTTTGTGAGACAGAGAAAGCATTAACTTTGTTTTCGAGTATTTGTTTACTTTTGAGTTTTTATTATTAAAGTTAACAAATTTTAAGTATAAAGTACTCGGTAAATAAAATTTGGACAAACAAGCTAAGTTGGGCCAGACAACATGGAATTTATTCCTTTCATTTTAGTTTAAATTGATATCTGCATATTGTAATAATTTTAATTAAAATTTGAATACTAGAATCTAGATTAGAGTATAAAAAATATTAACTAAAATCGGAATCTTGATATCCAAAGTATAATACATGAGTAATTGATATAATTTTAAAACAAAATAATTTCAAGAAAAAAAAGCACTTCTTTTTCCAACAAATTCTCTAGAAGTATTAAGGTTGGGCTGCTGATAAATTCTACTCTTCTGTTACAAAGGTCAACTATAAGAATAAAAGAAGCAGTTGTGAATATTTTATCAAATAATTATTCTAAATAACAATAAACAAAATTTATCAAATAATTAATTTAAATAACAAATAAATAAAATTCATCAAATAATTAATTTAAATAACAAATAATTAAAATTGAGTTCGTAATTATGGAATTATCGTGATTAAATAATGTTCCATTATCCCCAATGAAGGCTCATGTTTACTACTCATTGTTACAAATGTGATCTTACATGTTCAAACGGACGGGAAACATGCAAAGTTTCGAATGAAATTAATAATAAAATTAAATCCAAATTTATAATATATTTGGGTTGATTACAATAGATGAAATAACTTGAAATTAGCTTCTGAGTCTTTAAAGGCCTCCTTCACAGTAAGGACTTTACGTACTAGACTGCAAAATAAATAAAATAATTTGAAATTATCATCTTAGTAATTAGTTCATTTTCGAAACTAATTTGAAAAATGTATAATTATTAACTAGCATCTTGAAAAATATTTTTATTATTATTTAAAGAAAACACAAATGCAATGAGGTGGTAGGTGACAAGATCATCAAGTTGGATTGCTCACCAAACTCCTCTCTACCCTTAGATCATAATTAATATTGCCTCACTCATGACCTCATCTATGCATACAATAAAAATACAAAATTCCTTCCGCTAGATTTCTTTATTTCCTTACCATTAACTTTAAACAATTTTTTTTATAAATATTTTCATTCATGTATATTATAAAGTACAATATTTCCCAAGATAATATAGTCATATCTTTCTTGTTATGTAGATTTTTTGCATTATTTTCAAATATATAAATTTATTTTTTAAATTTTACACTGTCTCTCCCGGTGTGTGTACACACACACATATATATGCCTCTCAAATCATTCATTCTATTCTCTTAAAAGATTACAAACCAAGTTATCACAACAAATACTTTACTCTCTCTATATATATATTGAAAGTGGGAGCTAAGTCTCAAGAATTACAAAGGGCAGTTTGGAACACACCAATCAATTAACCAAAGTGAGTAGTAATTGGAGTCAAAAAGCTGAGTTTAGCAGCTATCCATCATCTGTTGAATGAAAATGTGGGATAAAGAAGAAGTAGAAGAAGCTGTTTTGGTGGGTGAGGAAAATCAACAAACAGTTTGTGTGCTTGATGCTTCCACCTTTGTGGGCTATTGGATCTCCAAGAAACTCCTCCTTAAAGGCTACACTGTTCATGCTGCTGTCCAGAAAAATGGTAACTTTCTTTAATTAATTCATCTACTCAAAAAAAAAACAGAGAGAATTCATTTGGTTACTTTAAAAAAATGGCATTTTTATCCATATTTGGTTACTTCTTTCCATTGACTTGAGCCACACAGTCAGAAAGTTTAGTTTTTGATGAACATAGTTGAAGTTATTTCTGTGCACAGAGATTGGTATTGACATATTTATAAATGGGATTCTTTTTTTTCATTTTATTTGAAGGAGAGAAAGAGATAATGAAGAAAATCAAAGAACTGCAGAGAAGAGTGAAAGAGAGACTGGTGATATACAGTGTGGATGTGTTGAGTTACAGAAGCATTGTTGAAGCCCTTAGAGGATGCTCTGGTCTTTTTCTTTCTCTGGAGAATCCAGATGGCTATGATGTAAGTCATCTTCTTTTTGTTCATCTTCAGGTCAAGAACTAATTGTTCATTTTTCAAAACAAATAAAAGATTATATTCTTTGTGAATTGCCAAAAATACCTAGAAATCTCTAAACGTTCATATCTAAGGTCATATACTCGATAAGATCCTAGTTTTCATCACGATATTCTGCACACACACTTCACCAGACCCTATTTTTTGTGGGATTTTACTGGGTTTGTTGTTGTTTGGCATTCTCATTAAAAAAAATTGAATCTTTATGGTATTTTGTATTGTATAATAAGTGTGTGTGTGGGGGTTTTGAAACTTGGTAGGAAGTGGTTGGGGATTTGGAGGTTAGAGGAATAATAAATGTGATGGAGGCATGTGCACAAAGTGAGACAATGCACAAAGTGGTGTTCACATCATCTTTGACAGCAGCCATTTGGACTGACAACACCTCCTCCTCTCTCAAGGATGTGGATGAATCCTCTTGGAGCAACACACTCTTCTGCACTCAAAACAAAGTATGTCTGATATGCCCCCAAACCAAACATTCTTTCTTTTCTTTTCTCTGTGAAATAATATTTATTTTCATTTTCAAATCTCATTTTTTTTAATCATAAATATGTTTAATGAGTTTAATTTCAATTTGTGTGAAGCTATGGTATGCCCTTGCAAAGACAAAGTGTGAGCAGGCAGCATGGGCCCTAGCAATGGACAGAATGGTGGTGGACATGGTGTCCATCAACGCGGGCCTGGTTATTGGGCCGAGCGTGGCCCAACTGAACCCGGTCCCCACGCTGTCGTATCTCCAAGGCGCGGCGGAGATGTACGAGAGCGGGCTTTTGGCATTTGTTCATGTTGGGTTTCTTGCGGACGTTCACGTCCAGGCCTTTGAGGACGCGTCCACTAGCGGGAGGTACTTCTGCTTCGATAGGACCGTTACTTGCGAGGAAGATGCCCTTAGACTTGCCCAAATCTTGAGCCCCTTGATACCCTTACCTGCTCCTGAAAGGTAATTTACCTAAATAGAAGTAAAACATAATGACTTTCTCAGTATAGGACCATATGTTTTTATCTTCTAATGTAGGTAATTGGTCATTATCTATTAGTCATTATTCAAGCAAATGTCAACCATCAATGGACATTATTCCTTCCACTAAACATTATTAAGTCCTATTTAGGGATTAAAAAAGTTTAAGTCCTACGTTGAGAAATGACTTATGTTTTAGTCATATTTATTAGTGCAGATTTCACTCAAACGGATTTAATCTTTTAATGCGATTTAATTGAGTTGTCTTGTGGAAATGGTCAATTTTAATGAAGAGTGATTTGGTTTTAATTGGATGCAGGTACAAATGCCAAAGTGGTGGTGGTGAGGTTTATGGAGAGAGGTTAAGGACTAAGAAGTTGAGCAAGCTGGTTGAGGGATTAACTGCTACTGCTGCCTGTTAATTAGTTATTTAAGTTTTAGGATCCATAATTATTATGCACACTTTCAATTATTACTCCATTTCTTCTTTACATCAATTATGAGTACAAGTAATCAAGCTTGTTAAATGTAGTAAATGATAAATCCCACTATGTAAGATGATGGTAATAATTATAGTAATGAAGATGGTTAGAAAAAAAAGAATGGAGGCTTGTCATTTGTGTGGGTGCTTTTTTCATATAGTTCTAAATATATTAAAATTGTATGGGTAAGACAATGGGGAATTAAATTAAAATGGTCAGTTAAACTAAAAATTGTCACTTAACCTAAAAATTCAAATTTGTTGTTTTAAGTGAAGAAAAGATTTTTACATTATAAGTCAAAATGTTATATTGGAGATAGTAAAAAATCAAACAAGAATCTTATTTTGAGACTAATGAAAAAGTATGGATGCAATTACATCTGATTTCAATTAGAAGTGCATTTTCCAAACACATGTTAGTTCATGAGTTATGTAAAATTTTGTTATCTCGAAATATTTTAATTCTAAAATGGGTTTGTATATACTTATTTAAAATCTAGAAATTCATTGATGGTTCCAACATCAATTATTCATAGACTTTTAAAGTACAATATAAAACAATCATTCAAACTCTTAATTAAATACACACCCTAAATTCTTAGGGTTTGAAGTTTAAATATCATTATAGATTTTCTTATGGTGTCAAAATAAAGTCCATCAGACACAATAGACACACAAGTTACAAAGTGTCATTGTATAAGATGTCATTTTATAATTGATCTGAGGTAGTAAAATACCGAACAGTAGTAGTAGAATACAACTAAAATTAAAAATATCAACAAAATATATGGAGTAGTTATATCTTTTTAATTTGAGGAAATGTAGTGTTACACTATCCCGTATACTGGAATTGGGTGACACCAATTCAAATGAGACACCTATAGTTCTCTGTTCGTAATTGAAAGTTCTTGTCCCCTCACGACCGCCCTAGCCTCTCAAATCTCAATTGCACCTCAAACATTTTGTTGACTTTTGTGGTCAAAATTTTGACCAAAATGTCAAAGAAACTAATATGCTTCAATTGCAAAGACTAGGGTTGTCGTGAGGGGGGCAAGGTCAAGATGGGGGTTTATGAGGGAGATTAGAAAGGGTAGAAACCGTTAATTTTATGAACGGAACACCGCTATTGAAATGGTATCACGAAGTTACAACATTTGTGATGGTGTAACTCTAGACTTCCTCTTTATATTTATTAAAGAGTTTAATTACATCTAACACTTCCAATTTATTTGGCACATTTTTCTATAATAATAAAAGGTGTACTAAATATGATCGTTACAAGAATAAAGTTATTCTTTTCAGAATAAAAACTCTGACTATGTATGAGAGTAACTTTAAGGTCTAGATTCAGTGTTTTGAAAAGTGAAATTTGTTCTAAATAATACTAAAATAATACTTAAAATTTTTTTATTATGTAAATAATACTTGAATAATGTCTAGTAGTAAGAATAATATGCAGTAATGATAGATATTAAGTTTGAACAATGTCCAGTTGTGATAAATATTATTTGATACCATATTGAGAAAGTCACTTTTTTGAAAATGCTATTCAATAGTTTTTGTAATCGTTTTTTCTATGTTTTTCCATGTCAATAATGGATATTAAAAATTTATCCAAATGCTTCTCCCCCTGCCCCTGTGGGCCGGATATCGTATTTTAAAGCTTTCCTTGATTAATAAATTGGGCCGGTAACCATTTTTTAATGTTGATGCAAGCCCAACACAGTTCGTTGATAAGGGCATCCAACAATTGCCTCTTCTCCCCTTCGGCTCCGGGCTTTTCCAGCCTAAAGTGGCGCCGCTCCTCCCCTGGTGTCTCTTCTTCGACGCTCATCTTCTTCCCCGATTCATCCCCATCTATCAGCCTAATCAACAGGTACTTCTGGTTCCGATCGCCATGAAATCATGTAGTTTCAATGGAATCAACAAAAAACTAAAAAAGTATTGCAAAATTTTGAATGAAGTGCTAAGCAATGGTTAGTTATTCAATGGAAGGGCCTATGACTGCCCCTTCCCAGAGAGGATCCACGATTGTTTTGTTATTTTTTCTTGTCTTGTTACTCTTAGTGAGGTATTTATCATGGAAAATTAGCAAATCAAAGTGTATTTCTGTATGTAGATAGAGTGAGGCTTTGAATTCTATTCTTTTGGAAGTTCCTACAAAGAGTAGCTTCAACTTTTCAATGATTTCTTTTAAGATGGGTCTTTTGTTTCCCCTAATGCATCTTCAATGGCTTTGCAGCATAAGAAGGCATCATGAGGTTGGAGAAGTGTTGGTTTTGCTCATCCACTATATACCCTGGGCATGGTATTCAGTATGTTCGGAATGATGCGAAGGTAGGATAGTTTCAATCATTTTCTTTTTATACCACTTGCTTAAATATTAAAAGGGAATGATGTTTCACTGGCTTTTGTTACATACATGCTTGCAAATTCAGTCCTTTAGTATGATTCACATACTGCAAATTAGTCGCCTTTGACGTGGATTCACATAATTCATTACCTATTGCTTAGTAGTGTATAGTGCAATCTTTAAATTTTAAAGACATGATATTTATGTAGCAGGCCAAGTAGTGCTTCCAAGTAGCGGATTCAGATGAAATGCATATGTTTCTTGGCATATGTGTATATTCTCAATAGATACAAATTGTTTAGTGTGTGATAGTGAGTGTACAATGTTGCAAAAGACCTAAATGTGCCTTGAGTGTACAGTGTTGCAAAAAACCTAAAAGGATAGTCATAGTCATGACTCATGTCAGCCTCGACACTACATGAATTATCAATTACAACTATATTTTTTTAATCACGCTGTCCAAAGACATAGCCCTGGTTCAACAACCTTTTTTAGAGAGTGGTTTTAAATGTTAAGTTTCATCTCTAAGTAGCATTCGTGTAGAGCCAAGCAGTAAGTGGTTTTTGTAATATGCTCATTTTTTAATGTACTACGTATATTTACATGTCAAGCTATGTAGTGGCCTTATGGATGATTGGCCTTTGAAAGAAATATCAGGTTTGTATCAATAATTTGGAAATTTAGGTTTTCCATCTTAGAAGTTTAAATGAATAAGTTACTTCTACTGATGGCTTGTTTATAATGAGAGACAATTTTGTTATGCACGTAGTTGTTCTCTTAAATATGGTTTTGTTTATCTTTTACCATTGGCATTGGCTTTGAGAATTATTTTTTGGATGCATGTGAATATGTGAATGGCCGATCCCACCTAGTATTCTGTATAGTTGAATGATATGTTTATGATATGATTATATGGATGACTGGATGGATGTTTGTTTTGCTTATGTTCAACTTAGCTAATTAAATTCCATGGGTTCCTTCATCTGCAGATTTTTAGGTTCTGCAGATCTAAATGTCATAAGAACTTTAAGATGAAGAGGAATCCACGCAAGGTCAAGTGGACTAAGGCCTATAGACGGTTACATGGAAAGGACATGACCCAGGCAGGCAGCATTTTTGTTTTTCTCAAAAACTCTTCCTTTTTTTCTGTTATGTTACTGATACAACCACAATAGCATTATCCCTACCCATTGTGGGGTAGGGGGTGGGATGTACGCAACCCGATCCCCATGCTTAAAACATGGAGCGACTATTTATTTGATCACTCACAAATCACAATGAGCATCGAAAGTTGCATTGACTAACTGCTACTTCACTATTAAAAGAAGTGCAAACAATTTGAAAACCTTTTTGCTTCACTCCAACATACCTCAAAGCCAAAAAAATATTGAATCTTTGGTTCCATATGAAGGTGATGGAAAATGTTATGTCAGTAATAATACTTAACCTTTTCTTTTTTTGCTTGTAAATTGTAATATTCAAACCGGAAGGACTCAACCTTTGAATTCGAGAAGAAGCGAAACAGGCCCGAAAGATATGACAAGAATGTAACAGAGAACACTTTGAAGGCCATCAAGACAATTATTAAAGTCAGGGACACCAGGGAGGCTCGTCACCACAAAAACAGGTTTTTTTCCCCTCTCTCTGTCAATTTATCTCTATCTGCATCTTTTTCTTGATCCATTTTTTTCAAAACAAAATTATATGATATGTTACTTGAAATCGCGCTTCAGATTTAGATCCAAGAAAGCAATGAAAAACAAAGAAGCAGCAAAGGAACTTGAGCAGAGCATCCACCTGATCAAAGCACCCAGCGCTCTTCGGCAAGATGCTTCTCTCACTTTGCCCATCAAGGTCAAGGTCTCACAACAGTCCCAAGATAACCGCATGGAAGAGTAAATCTCTCTCTTTTGCCTGTCATTGAGCCGGACGCTTCATTCCAAATTCTCCTAAAAACGGTTTCGTTCCCATTTTTGCATTCACTATATTGCCCGTATCTCGTTGCATTTGTTCTTGTTTATGCTAAGATCCAACATCATTATCACTTATGTGTAGTACAATGATCAAACATGTTTTCTAAGGATTATAGTTGGGGGATGATGACATTTGAATGATAAAGATTGAATTTATGACTTCCTTTTTTGTCTTAATTAATGTTGAGAAATGTTTTGTGAGTCACAAGCTTCAATAATGTTTTGTCCTCTTATATCCTTATTTCAGCTACCAATTTCAAAAATTGAGTTATACCTTCTTTCCTCGCACATTTTTCTCGATCATTTATTAAACTAAAACTCCATGGGGGACAGATACTTGATCATGTCTTAATGTCCACATTTTTCTTGATCATTTAGGAATATGCTTGGTCGCCGTTTCTATAAACCATTTATATTTTGACTTTTAGCCAAAATAAGGAATGTGTATATTTATGGTTGCTTTTTAATTTTGCTCTTGATGTGATAGGTAAAAGTAAGATGCGATAGATAGATTATTAGTGAAAAAGTATGATGCGATATGTAGTTTAAGAAAAAATAAGGGTAAAAATGAGTTTTTAATAGATAGTGAAAGTGTTTTGAAAAAATAAAAAAATGAAAAAGGAAGTATTTTAAGAAACACAAATTGCAAAATTCAATGGGCACATAATGAGAGATACCTACCCCTTCAAACCCTAATATTGCAAACTTAAATTAAAGAGTCATTGGTATTACAATTAATGGGACTTGAAATGTCCTAGGTGAGAGAGATAAAACACCAATAAAATATATACTCCGTATCTTCGATTTATCTCTTAATGAAACGATAACTTGAAGAATTTTAAGGTGGAATTCAAAGTTCTTACAAGCAAAAGAAAAGAACTAGTTGCATTTTGTTAAAGGCAATTAAAACTTACAAAGATAACTTCAAAGTTATTGATTTTGGCTAAAGCGCGCTGGTTATCCCGATAAATATGGGTGCAAACTGCAAAATAAGTGTGTGGATAATTTTTTTTGTTAGACCAAAGGTTTCCTAAGGTGGGGGCTGGGTTGGGGTAATCATTGAGTTTAAGTAAAATAATTTTTTTGAGTGTCATTAACTTTATAATATTGGAATATATTTTTGAAGTCTATTGAAATATGGAAAGTCGATGTTTTGGTTAGAATTTGAATTTGTTACTTCTCATTTAACAAAGTCGCATAAATGACGTTCAACTAATGGATTTTTTTACAATTAAAAGAAGGGATATGCTAGAGGTACACCAAAGGTGTACCCCAAATGTACACCACCCCTAGGGCTGTTAACGGATAGCCGAAAATTCGATTACCGTCCGCATCCGTATCCGTTTAAAGAGGAAATATCCGGATCCGTTTTAAACGAATATTATCCGTATCCGATTACTAAACGGATGCGGATTTGGTAATTGTATATCCGATCCGTTTAAAATCCGATCCGAATATGCATCCGTTTAAATAACCGTTTATCCGCATATCCGATCCGTTATATATAGTTTTTCCTAATTTTTTTTATGTTTATATTTTATTTCTCTATTGATATTTCAAAGTATAATACATTTTTATATACAAAATAAATGTGTAGACACATAAACATATGTGCAGACATATAAAATTATGCGTATATGTCTGCTGTGTATATCTTTTTATCATATGAAGTTATCGTAGAATATCATAAATCATGAAAACAAAGAAAATAATTATCCCATAATTTAAAATTAAAGTATTGTTTAATTTGATTTTAAAATTGGAAACGGATACGGATATATCCGATATCCGACCGATATCTGACGGATGCGGATATGATTTTGATTTTCAGTATCCGTCAAGATCCGTATCCGAATTCGATATCCGACAAAAATAAACGGATACGGATTTGGCAATGGTACATCCGATCCGATTAATATCTGTTTACACCCCTAACCACCCCCCTCTTTACCATTCATTTTATTTTGTTTTTATTTTTACTTTTTTTTGAATTTTTCTTACTTTTTTTGTGTGATGATGGAGGAGGTGGGGATGTTTGGGGTACACTTTTGGTTTGGTGTACCCCTAGTATTTTCCCTAAAAGAAAATAAAAAGGAAATTTATGAACCAATAAAGAAGAAATACTCCGTACATATACTCCGTAAAATACACCAGATGGGGTCGAAATGATATCACTAAATCTTTTGGGGTCGAAGTGAAATTAAAACCAACCGCCCCGCGGTTCGGCTCGCCGCGGCCGCCCACCCAAACTTTTCTTCCCTCTACCCATTATAATTCCAAGAAAAAGTAAAAAATCCATCTCATGGAAACAGTAAAACTGTCTTTTTCTGGATTTTAGTGCACCACACGTTATCTTCTTTTCCTTTTTTTTCTTCTGAATAATAATCTTTTTTTATTCGGAATCATAAGAAGTCCTACAGACAGTGGAAAAGATTTTACTCGTGTATTGGAATTGACTCTCGGGAGATCAATTTGGATTTTGCCCGTTCAGCTAATTAATCAGGTACCTTTTCCATTTTAAAGATGGGTTCTTGAAATTTGTTTACTCCACGTACAATTATCAGATTATGTTAATGTGTTTTACAATTAAGTGGGATTTATTAATGTTCATTGACCCGGAATTGAAGGGATTTACCGAAAAAGTAAGTTTATTAAATGCTGGGTTTATTTATATATGCTAAGTTAATTGAATTTATTGTTTTTGTGATGTTCCTTTTCCCATGTATTTCAACCTGTTCTTGGCTGAATTTCAAGATTAGCTCGTTTGATAGTGTTATGCAGATTGAATTTCTGTGAGTGATGGGTATTGGTAGAAGCTCAATTTTTTTGGTTTCTTAGAAGTGGGTATATTTTCTTGAAGAAACTTTGGGTTTTCTTTATAGGCTATTGAAGAAGCAAAAATTAAAAAAAAATCCCTTTTTTAAAGAATTGGATTTTGTAGGAGTGTTGAATAAAATGCGGGCGATTTTGCGATCGGTAAGACAATTTAGGAATGCTTGTTTTGTGGCTCAACGGAATGGTCGGATTGATTCTAGAAGCCGGTCACTGTACAAACTCCCTAGTTCTAGTATTGCTGATATTAGTATCTGCAAGAATCCATCTTCTTTGATACTCAGATATATGATAACTAATGCTGCTGGAGTTGCAAGTAAAGGTGACATCATGGGATTTATCTTATCCTATTTGTTGCAAGATGATAATTTCTGAGTGTATATATCTTATATATGTTTTTTCTCCATCCAATTCATTTAATTGCAGAAGGGAACAGAGGAGGGCCTCTTGTAGAATACGAAAGAAGAATTGCCTCTGGTGACCTTTTTGATGGGGATGCTTGCCAGGTACATCAAATGTTGCTACTGTGTTATATCTGGTTTAATTTACTTCTTGCATATATTATTTTAAGGGAAAACCGTGAATTCTCTAGAATGGGAAATACTGGAAAATGGAAACGTAGTTCAAGAATTGTTCCTTTTTTTCCTTTTCAAAAATCAGTTTAGTTGTTAAAATATGGCAAGAGTGCTAAACTATATGAGCTTTAGATATATGTTTTATTTGGCGTAAGGTGAAGACCCTTAGGGTATGTTTGGGTCCCCATAAAATGTTAGCGAGGAAAAACTAATGTTAAGGGAAGTTTTTTTTCCCCAAGTGTTTGGATTTACCTTGATGAGTCCAAAGGATAATGAAGTATTATTAATCTTAACTTCTTACACGTGATTAAATATCTAAGTCTTTTACAGGTTCCAAACAGACCCTTAGTATTAATTACCGAGATAAGTTTTTCTTTTTTATTCTGAACATCATGATAAAGATGCAAGATAATATAAACAGTTCATATGAATCATCTATACTCCTGGCGGTATTTTTGTTTTTCTTCTTGAAAGGTTATTCTGATGGCCCTTTGTAGGTAGGCACATTGCAAGAACTTCAGAGACTCTACGATGAACTGAATGAGAAAGCTGTAGATTGCCGGTTGGACCGATATGCTGCTTCTGACAAAGCTGGAAGGTACTTATTGGGTTTAGTGTGTTGTGGATATAATCCTACATCAAACACCCAGGCTAAAAATATGAGTTACTCCTCCCATAGCCAATTGGTTTTGGGCTGGAAACTCATAGTTCTACATAGTGTTAACCTTTTTTTTCCCTACAATTTTCTTCTAGTCACACTTTGCCACTTTGCTTTTGGATTATTTTTTAGGAGTAGATGGTTGTGGTCTCGTTTTATTCCACAGTCGAGTTATGCACCCGTGAAAGGGTTGTACCTCTATGGAGGAGTTGGAACCGGGAAGACTATGCTAATGGACTTGTTTTTTGATCAGTTGTAAGCACCGTTATAATTTACTACATGCATATCATGTTTTGTTCTTGTCTTAAGTTGAAGACTTGAAGAAATTTATGAAGTTTCTTTTTCTCAGGCCTTGCCAATGGAGAAAGAAGAGAACTCATTTTCACGACTTCATGTTGAATGTCCACAGTAGATTGCAAGTATGAAATCTGGGTTTAATTTTTTTCCTTCCAAGATTTATGATTTACCATATTGTATAATATTTGTTCTGGTGATGAATTTATGCCACATTTGATGTTGAGGATTAACACCAGAAGCACAAAGGTGTGGCAGATCCCCTTGAAGTTGTTGCTGGGGAGATCTGCGATGAAGCGATCCTGTTATGTCTTGATGAATTTATGGTATGCTATTAATTAATTTACGATTGCAGTTTTTTTTAATAAGATGAGTTTGATATCTTTCTTTGGGCTGCCTATAAGAAAATTTAAGTTTATGCTCTCTGCAGGTGACTGATGTTGCTGATGCATTGATTCTGAACCGGTTATTTGGTCATCTGTTTAGTAATGGAGCTGTTAGTATATCCAATCACTCCTCATTCTTAAATTTCAATTTTCAAGTGAAGATAAAATGGAAAACTATGCTAAATACTGCGTAGTTTGTTTTCTTTTGTTTAAACTGTTGCTTTAAAACAACTACAGATTCTTGTTTCTACTTCAAATCGTGCTCCAGATAATCTTTATGAAGGTGGATTGCAGAGGGATCTTTTCCTGCCATTCATTGCTACTTTAAAGGTGGCCAGCCACTTTTCCTTGACTTGTTTCTTTTGCCCATTTTCCAAGTAACAGAAAACTCGCGTTTGAAGGTCAATTATTTTGATATTTCATTATTTTTTCCAAGTTATGTTAATTGGCTCATGTAGGAAAAATGTGTAGCACATGAAATTGGTTCATCCGTGGATTATCGCAAAATGACTTCGGTAAGTTTTAGATTTGGAGTTATTATCATTTTTATTTTTTCAACAACTATATAATGTTTTCTAATGTTTATATAAATAAAATTATATAGGCAGAAGAAGGTTCATATTTTATCGGAAAGGATTTGACAGACCTTATCATGCAAAAATTTCAAATGCTGGTCGGTCAGCACGATGCCGTTCCACAAGAGGTGGAAGTTGTTATGGGAAGGAAATTGCAGGTTTTGCTCTCAGAAAGAAAAAAAATCTTTCCCTTTAAATTTGCAAAGGATTTCAATAAGAAATCATCATTTATTACTCTAAAAAATTCTGCATAATCTGCAATGATCTTTCAGGTGCCATTGGGTGGCAATGGATGTGCATATTTCCCTTTTGATGAGCTCTGTGATAGACCTCTTGGAGCCGCAGACTATCTTGGGCTATGCAGTAAGTAATTTAATCCCACGTTTGTCTTCTTTCCGTATCCACATTTGATATATTTTACTTCTATACAGAAAACTTTCATACGGTGGCATTGGACGGAGTCCCCATTTTTGGACTTCACAATAGGACTGCAGCATATCGGTTCGTTACCTTGGTTGATGTTAGTTTGTTTCTCTTCTATAATTACTTCAAAAATTTAATGTGTGTGTGTGTGTTGTGAACTTATTATAGTGAAATTTGCATGGAGTAGGACTAAAACATAAGTCATTTTCCAATGTAGGACTTAAACTTTTTTATTTCCTAAATAGGACTTAATAATGACTAGTGAGAAGAATAATGTCCAAGTGATGCTGGACATTTAGTTGAATAATGACTAATAGATAATGACCAAAGGTCCTATATTGGGAAATAAAAACATATGGTCCTATATTGAGAAAGTCATTATGTTTTAGTCCTATTTAGGTAAATTGTGTGACTAAAAGTGGATTTTTAAAAGACGCTCGATATGTCATACACCATATTTGTTTGACCATATATACTCCCTTTGTCGTGGTGGAATTTGCCAACCTTTTGTGTGTAAATCACACTAAAGGTTGCAAATTTCAGTGCAACGATGGGTGTGTGTGTGTGTGTGTAGTTCACAACTAATGTTTCTTGATTTTCAGGTGCTTTATGAAAATAAAGCACGGTTGTTGGGTACAGCCGAGGGCTCCCCTGCAGAACTTTTTGAGAGAATTGTGACCATAGCCGATGCGAATCAAATCGCTCCGAGGTCTTCAAGGTCAATCAAGAAGGACGATATTGACCTTTGTGTCGACAACGAGCTTGGCTTTGCAAAAGATCGTACCATTAGTAGGTAACTATCACTCCCTCAATCACTAGGATAGTTGGGGTCTTATGAAAACTCCGTGGACCGGGTGTATGTTAGGTCTAATTCACTATTTGGGTCAGTCCAATGTACCCGAAGGATTGAAAAAACATCAACGGTTGAATTGCAGGCTGACAGAGATGAACAGCAGAGAGTATTTAGAACATCACGCCGAGAGGTTGACGGAGACGGGCGGTGCATCTGGCGGCGGCATGTAAGAACATATATATATTTGTATCCCAAAGAGAAAGAAAAAAAAAGAAAGAAATTTGTTTTGTTGTAAGAGACCAAAGCTGGGTGGGGAGCCATTGTGCAATAACGCTCCCACTTCACAGGTTTGGAGATTCATTCAAAGTGTGTAATAATAATAATGCCAATAAATCTGGAGAATATATAGAGTTTAGAGAATAAACATCTGTTGTAACCATTTTTGGACTTTGGACAAGTGTAATCATTCATTCCTGTTTGTTTTACACTACTTTTTTTTCATTGGAAATACACAATCTTTTTAATTTCCGATTACTGCCATTTTGAAATGCTTGTGTAACATATGTTAAGAGTTTAGATGCATTTGTGTTGGTGTTTGGTGAATTCAATTTTGTGTCAACTTTTAGGCCCCCACAAGACTATTTACAAAAAAAAACTCCTAGACCTTGCAAAAAAGGACCCAACCTATTTTTGACTCGAGACCTGACAGGAAAGTACTGAGTTTTGAACAAATGGTTTGCTGACCGAACTCAAAATGACTCGCTAAAAATGGATCACACCCGAATGAACCCGAACCCGACCTAATCGATCTGCTAATGTAAGAATATTTCAAAATCATATATTTTAATATGCAATATGATGTTACAAAAATAAGATTCTAATTATATTTCTTTGCTTACTGTTTGTTTTTTGTGTATAAATTTATCTTTTCATACAAAATTTTAATAAAATTGCATAATTATATTACATTTTCTCAAAATGTCTCCATATTTAATTTTTTTATTCATAATATTGAAACTGACTCATATAAATTACCTAATTTTTTTTAAAAATGTAACTTGTAACCCGTTGGATCGACCCGAACCTGATCTGTGTTATGAACATGTAGTTTTCAACCCGAACCCGCGTAACTCAAATCCGACTTGACCGACCAATTTGTCAGCTCTAACTCCTTCAACCTTCAAATCAACTTTATGATTTGATTTCACGAAATTTAAGAAAAATATTTAAAAGTGAAAAGGTACTTGATGAATAGTGAAAAATATTTGGGAAAACATTTATTTAGAAAACATAGAATTGGAGTTGATTTAGAGTAATGTTACGGAGTGTTAAGCTTATTTACATTAACAACCAATTCAAATGTCTTGAATAAAGTAAAAGAGAAAAGTATTGTTTTACCAAGTTTACTCCTAAATTGAAAAAATGCCCCATTTATTTTTGTGGCCTTAATTATTGTCCATTTGTCCACTAGTCAATAGTCATATTTAACACAGAGTATCGAACATCTCTGATACTTGTGATTTGAAAAAATGGGAACCAACAACTCTCTTCATAGAATTTATTATATATTAATCCCTAATGAGTACTCATATAATGTCATATAATGTAAATTTTGTCATCTAACGAAGAGCAAATTCTTCCACAAAATGTGTCATTTTTTGACATTCAAAATGGATTTTACAACATGAAACTCTCGATAAAAGTTTGGGACGATATAAATTAGAATATGCGGGGAAATTCATTCAGAGCCGAGTAAACATGCAATCGTAATCCCGCAATGAGGCAAGTGTTGCAAACAAAAAACATCCCAACAAACAAAAATATTTGTAAATAGGATGAACAAACATCATAGAGTGAACCAACTAGAGATATGACAATAGGCAAAACAGCCAATAAAAGCAACTCCACATGATCCATTGTCATGGTTCTATTAAACCATTATTATAACTGTAAAACTCAACTGGTTCTAGTAGTAATGCATATATAGATAGATATTAGATAGTAGTGACACACTTGAAGTGTGTGTGTCTGTGTGTATATCATTATTAGGTACATTCTCAGATGTGATTAGATGAGCAGAAACCTTCTACACCTCCAAACACTGAAAACATACTACTTATTGTATGTATAAATGTAGAGCTGCTATACCAGAATCCAGATATATGCCCTTCAGGAGACAAATGGGAATGAGAAGTTTATTGTGTGCCCAAAATGCCCTCGTACAAGATTGAGAAGAAAGCCCCAGGCATCTCTTCACTCCAAATACTTCAAACCACTTTAGCATTTCTGGTCAGAAGCACATTGAGGACAATTGTAAGTGTGGTTTGTCAGGGAAAAAATAAGGTAGTTAATACTGTTTTCTTCTTGTTTTCTTGTTTGGAGTAACTATAAGTGTTTGGTTAGAGAGGCAAAGAAAAGAGAAGTGAAAAGAAAAGAAAATGAGAACATAGTGTTAGGGACAGAAAAGTTACTTATAATAATACATAGACAGGTAAATAAAAGGGGAAACTAATTTACCTTGGCAGCTTCAAGAAATGTTTCGTGTAAATGCACGAGTGGGTTTAGAACGGGGCGAGCCCTCGCGCAGCGGTGCAGGATCCCCGCTCCTTCATCCCTGCACCGGCAGTGTAGTGATCCACTAATTGCTAATCCGAGTCCTCATAAATTCCACCATCATCAGCCAACTCATCAAAAACTCGAAGATCGAGCTGGTAGCGTAATATGCCCCCAATGCCACCAAACCCTCTGCAAAACTGAGACCCTTCTTGGGATTTATTGGAAACAAATTCCAACGAGCAACCAAACCGCTTATACTCGTAAGCAAACCACTCCAACAAAGGCATCCTATCTTGAACCTCCAAATCAGCATTGGTTTCCGAATCGCGGAAGTTACTCTGATCTGTGTCTTGTGCCTTGTTGAGATGTTTTATGATCATTTCTCCTGTTGTGCTGTTCTTTAGAACATATCTCATGACTTCCAAATCTTCCCATACAATAAGGGTCTCAATAGCACCCATCTCCAGTGCTTTCAACGTATCCTCCACGCCAACCACATACTTACCTGTGTCCTGACTGATCTCCTCAAAGTACTTGCCTATCAGTTTCTTTTCTTGAATAAACTTCACGTTGGACAATACCTCAGAAGACAGCTCAATTGCCTGGTTGAAACCACTCTCCCCACCATAAGAAACATCCACGATATTTAGGATTTTAGCTTTGAGACGCATATCAAACATATCAGTCTGACTAAGCTCAGTCTTGAAGTCAGCAGATCCGGCGAGTACGAGTCCAGAAACGTTTGGTTGACTGGTTGAAGGATTAATGAAGAATTGGGTGGCAAGTTCAGCCGTCTTTCTCACATAGTTGTGACGCTTTTCCGTTCTCAGACGCGCAAAGCGAAGAGCTGATTGACCTCCTCTCCCGTGTTTCTTAGGAAGGTCAACTCCAAACTTGTGAAGAATCTCCCTAGTGTTGCCACACAATGTCCCAAAAAGGGTTCCATTACCGTCCATGACAATGAACCCAAACTTGTCATTAGATTCCAAAAGTTCTTTGAGAGCTTCCGTGTGAAACCTGTTGTCACAAAGGTACAGAGAAGCGTTTATAGGTTTGAAAGGTTCAAAGTCAAATGTGACTTTCTTCTCCTTCCCATCATCTGTAACAATAGTTCCAGTGTAGATGACCAGACCGTTTGGAGGGACTTTGTTGTAGAGTTTCAGCCTCTGCTGAGCAGAAGTAATCGCGCCCAGAACAGATTGGCGGTTCACTCTGCTTTTGATGTTTGATGCAGTTCCATACTCATCTCCAAGCATCTTGGTGACCCGGGAGATTTGGTCGCGCGGAGGAATGATCAGAGAGATCATGCTGGTTCCATTGCCTCGAGCAGCTTCCAATCCCTTTATCAAGTTTTTCACTTTCCACATCTCAATGTTCGTATCAGTTTCGTGTGTGTCACCCATTGCAAGATACAAAGTAGCTGCAAAAAAAAGAGTAAAATGTCAGAAAATCATTAACATACTTGTAAATAGTACTACCTCCGTCCCATTTTATAACGCATGTTTCGGTTTACGATGTTTGACTGAAACTATTTTCAAACCATTTTATATGACAAATGGTATAGAATTAAAAAATAAAAATTACATATTAAAAAATTACATCAAAAGATCTACAAAACTAGTAGTGACAATAATATTTTATTTTATCAAATTGCTAACGAAAATAGAGAAAGAAATTGAATGAAATTTGACCCTGTGAATAGTAAACAGACATTATAATTTGGGACGGAGGGAGTATATATGTTTCATAGACTACTACTATTACCTCCATCACAAATAGTATTTATCGACAAACTTTGATCATCAATTAAATAAAAGCTGCATGGTTGCATATTCAATAAGAAAACTAAAATTATATAGTTCCTCTGATCAGAAAACATAAAATTCCGTTCAGATCATCAATATATTGAATCCAAAGTTCAGATCATCAATACATCGAACAAGTCCGACCCGTATTCACCATCCAATTCCAGACTTAAATTCTCATCCCCAAACACAATCAATCACGACAATTCAATAATCATATTTACTAATTCAATCGTCAATTGGCAATAATATAAATAGACTAATACTGATGCACGAATTAATCCTAATGAAAAAAAAATATATGAAACCACGACTCTCACCTCGAGAAAGAAATCGCCAAAGTAGTCGCTGAAGAACTCCGGGGAATCCTCTGGTTTTCGTCGCGGCAAAGAAGAAAAAGTCTCACACGGCAAAGTATGAACACTAGTGGGCAAAGAAGAAAAAGTCTCACATTTAGAAAATTCTTTTATACATAGTATGTTTGGCAACATTGATTTAGACTTAAACATTTTGAATATGGATTTGAATCAAATTTCTTACATTCAAAACAAAACTTAATTTGAAATTCATGCACCTCCCCTTGTCATTTGAAATTCAGGATTTCAAATTTTAGAATTGAAAAACATGAATTGAAATGAAATGTTAGTTGCCAAACATTACTTTATTTATTTATTGAATTGGAATATTTATTGTGCTCATAACTTTTTATACACGTAAATTCAAATTTGTCAAATGATATAATGTTGCTCATCTTTTCCCGACATATCGTTGGTCATCTTTTTATCGAACATTCCTATATTTTATTCTTTTACTTAATTATTTTCTCGTTCTCCGGACGGTCAAGTCATTAAATTTCATACCTCATATTCAAACATAAAATATACTATTGGGCTCGTCTTTTTGGGACCTACAATTTGGAATGAAATTTGACTGAAAAAATTGATTTAAAAATAAATTATTTTTAGTATTATTGTTTCAATTTTATTTAATTTATATGAAAATTAAAAATACGATTCAATACAAATTTTTTATTAAATTTTAAGGTATATTTTTTGAGGCGCTACACACCTCTCGCATGCAATAAGTGTTATACTTCTTTTGTCTCTAAATATTTTAAATTTTACCCAAAACGAAGTAAATTTTTAAGTTTTTTAAATTCGATCATTTTATTTAAAGAATAGTATAGAAATTAAAAATTAAACTTACATATCTAAAAATTAAGTCAAAAATTCTACAAAACAAAAACTGACAAAAATATTTTATTTATAAAATAATCAAGCGAAACATACAAATGAATAAAATTTTAATTTATTGATATCAACAATAACATGGTAAGTAGTCTAAGTACAATATATGACTGAAAACAATAGCCAATAATGGAAATGACAATGGAGGGGAAATGGTGACAACATGAGCAAATTATATGGTAAGCAAGGTAGATGTATCATACATCTTCGAAAATTTGCAATATTTTCTTTTAAGAATGAACATTGTATAAATATGAATACTATGTTGTTTAAAAATGAACATTACGTGAGAATAAACACTGAACTGAACAGGTTTGAAATGCACACTACGTTGTTTCAGAATGAACACTATGTTAGTCACAAATGAATATTATAATTGTAATGAACAAATATGTGAAAATAATACTACATTGCTTTTAAATGAACTAATTAAAAAAATTACATGAAAAGCTATACTTTCATCAAATTTTCTAATAGATTGTACTCTGTATGGAAAAAAACTATATTAAAAATATTATTCTTTAATATTTTCTAATAAATTATATTGAAAATAATATTGAAAATATTATTCTTTAATAGATTGTACTCTGTATGGAAAATAACTATATTGAAAATATTATTCTTTAATTTTCTATTTATTCTTTACTTTCGCTCTAATTTTCTAATAAATTATATTGAAAATAACTTCAGTCAAACATCATAATTCTAAACATACAATTTACGAGAGGAAGTAATTCAATTATTTTCAGCCAAGTATTGAGAAACTCTGGAATTGTGGTATAACTTTTTTTTTAAATAAAGAAAAGTTAAAAAATAATACTCTATAAAAATGGAGCAAGAGATGCGTGAGTCTGAAAAAGTGTATGAAATTGGGGAAAAGAGAACAGTAGACCCCAATTTTGGCAGGGCCTGCAGGAGCACGATTGGACGGTCACTGAGAAGACGTAAATTGAATTTTAATCACAGATTAGTCATAAAGAATGGAACATGTACCCGGTACTTGCAGAGGCGCTATGCCTAGCATAATTGGCTCCCAGCGCAACTATGGTACTTGCAGAGGCCTTATTAAAATCCTATTTACCTCCTATCAGTGACCGTCCGGTTGGATCTGGAAGGGTCCTCAGGGATGGGGATCATCCTTTTTCTAACAAAGTGTAGCTACCAGTTATGCTGGTAAACTGAGCTTGATTTCTGACAATTACACTGGAAGACAACTATGTTAAGCATAGAGTTCACTTCCTGTCACCAATCTGTGTTTAAAATTTAATTTACTTCTTTCGAGAGACCGTTTGGATGGATTTAAGGGACTCTCGAAAATGAGAGACATTCTTTAATAAAAGGGTGTGAAATCCCATATATTTTACAATTATTCTATTAATAAATTAGTAAGAATATCATCTTAAGAAAAATGATAGAAACCAATACGTCACGGTGGCGGTGGAATATGATTGGATTAAGCTATTTGTACCCCAATGTTTGTACTCTAATTTGTACACTATAAGTTTGCACCTTCATTTTGTGTTAGTATAATGTTAGAGTAATAGTTCACACAGACACAAAATGTTAGTGCAAAATTTTTTTTAACGTGCTAGCATTTTGTGTCAATGTAAACTATTAAAATGTTAGTGTAAACCCATGTTGTAAATCTAACCAATTAAAATAATTTTTGTGCTATAATGTAATGTACTACCTCCGTCCCATTTTATAATGCCTGCTTCAGTTTACGATGTTTGACTGAAATTATTTTCAAACCATTTTATATGACAAATGGTATAGAATTAAAAAATAAAAATTATATATTAAAAAACTACATCAAAAGATCTACAAAATTAATAGTGACAATAATATTTTATTTTATCAAATTGCTAACGAAAATAGAGAAAGAAAGTAAATGAAGTTTGACCATGTGAATAGTAAACAGACATTATAATTTGGGACAGAGGGAGTAATATGACCCAATATAACCAATGACTTCCCAAACACATACTACTAAAGTGGTGGTGGGCATCACATTTATACCCACCAGTCCACACACAAAGCATTAATTGAGCATATTATTTCCTAAAGCAGTAAGGCCCAACAAATAAAGAGAAGCTTTTCTTTCTGCCTGCAGGGATAAGAGCCATTATGATTATTATTATTTTTGGGCATCAATTCCCAGCCACTACTAGCAAAGCCAATATGTTAGAGGGGATAAAAAAAGAGCTCAAAAAAGTTAAAGCAATTACATAAACTAAATAAAGCTGCCTAGTCTATTNCTTTCACCCCCCCCCCCCCCCCTTCTTTCTTTTTTTTTAAAGATCTTTTTTTTAAAAAAAATATTAATTTAATTTATCTTGGACCTGAAAGCTCCATGGCATGCGCATCATAGTCATCATGATCATCCATCATCATGAAGATGGGTAAATGGTCATTGTCAACATACATAGCAGCAGCATTAGAGGGGGGGAGGTGCTTGTTGTGGCTGTTGTTATTGTTGGAGGAGAAATGGAGGAGGGCATTATGGTCATAGTTGTTGTTGTGTGAGGCTGCCCATTTCTCAGCCACCCCATCTCCCTCCAGCATCCTCACCACCTCCGACATCTTCGGGCGGTTTCCGGGCAGGTACTGGGTGCACAGTATCGCCACCTGTAGCATCTCCCCCACGTCGATCCGGTCGTAGTTGCTCCCCGCTAGCTCCCTGTCCACCAGCCCGTCGATGTTCTTCTCCCTCTCCATTTTGTTCACCTATAATAAGAAAAAAGAAGGGTATTTTGGGAAATGAATAAATGAAGCAGTTAAAAGAAGAAGGGATGAAGCAAGGAAAATACCCATTCAAGTGCAGCCCCTTTCTGGTTGACAGACTTTCCCAACTCAAGAGCTCTCATTCCAGTAATGAGCTCAACCAAGAGGATCCCGAACCCGAACACGTCCGTCTTTTCAGACGATTGGCCCGTTGAGAGGTATTCGGGCGCGATGTGGCCCACGGTCCCACGAACAGCCGTGGTGACGTGCGACTCGGCGTGGTCGAGGAGCTTCGCGAGCCCAAAGTCACCAACAACAGCTTCATAGCACTCGTCCAACAGCACATTTGCAGCCTTCACGTCTCTGTGGATTATCTTCGGGTCGCATTGTTCGTGGAGGTAGACCAGACCTCTTGCCGCCCCAATGGCTATTCTCTTCCTTGTTTGCCAATCCAAAGGTGGTTTTCCTGTCATCATTTTTTCCATCTCAGTATGGAAACTATATTCTCGGCAACCGGAGATTAAGAAAAAACGTTCCACGTTTGACTTGACATGGAGATTAAGAAAAAAACGATTTTTTTCCTCGATTTGGAACCCGGATTCAACTTTGACTATTTCTTATAATCACATGCAGGAAACAATATATGAATGTGTGATGGATGGTATGACATTTGTGATTTGTTATTTGTACGAATGAAGTTTGGTCATACTAAAGAATAAAACAAGAAACATATCTCAAAGCAGTTGAAACATGGCCCCCATCATCAAACCACATCCGTTTGAACTTCCAAGAAAAAAAATTACCATTTGGTCCCCCCCACAAACTGAATCAGACACCTTTTCATACCTAATGTAAGTAAAAGTTCAACGGGCAATGCTACCAGAACCTCACTTGTGACACCACTTTTGACACCCGCACACACAGTGATTGTCTTTGTCTGTGTTTGCTTTTGGTGTCAAAAGTGGTGTCACGTGACGCGCATACCTCTGAGCCTGGAGGCCACGCTGCCATTGGACATGTAAGGGTAGACGAGAAGCCGTTCCGTCGGGGTTGCACAGTAACCGATCAGGCGGAGGAGATTCCGGTGGACGGCCAAGCTGATGAGTTCGAGTTCCGTCCGGAACTGCGATTCCCCGGCCGTGCCGTTGATGTCATTCAGCCTCTTAACCGCCGCGACCGAACCGTCGCCCAATCTCCCGCGGTACACGTTGCCGAAACCCCCGGCGCCGAGGATGTTCTTGGTGCTGAAGTTGTCAGTTGCCTGCTGTAGCTCTTTGAAAGAAAACCTCCTCAGGTTTCCCAGTTTTACTACCATCTCCTCTTCCTGCAAATCTGTTGAAGCATAACAATATGACTTCTTGGGCAATGCCAAACATTAGCTGATAGGCTAGTTTGCAAATTGATGAGTTGACTCAAAGAAGTGAGACTTATTGGGCAATGCCAAACATATACTTAGAGGTTTGGGAAAGGAAAAGCTCTAAGCTCCATTAAAAAAGCTTTTCAGAGCCAAATAAGCTATGGGTTTCCCAAATAAGCTATAAGGGACTTATTTGTTTAAGAAAGAACTCACCATTAACATTAAGAATGGACTGCTTCCTTTGATGGCTTCTTTTCCAAAAGACAAATGCAATTCCCAAAAGCAAAAGAGAGACAAAGCCACAGCTGACTGAGAGTGCAATGGCATGTCTTTTTGACACATTTCTTCCTGCATGGTTTGCTACTATTATTATTATTACCAAGAGTAATAATAATATTAATAATAATGATAAACTTATAATTATCATCATTGTGTTTTTTGATTTGATTTGATCAATGACATAAAAAAATAGGCAAAAGGAGATATAGTTCAAAACTTACCCCTTGAAGTACTAATAATGATTGAAAAAGGAATTGAGTTGAATGAACCATTACATGTCCCAGAAGAGAGGCTTCCACAAACCAAGGGGTTGCCCACAATACTGTATATGCCAGCATTAAATAATAACACATGAGGAATTTTCTACTAATTTAATTAACAAAAAGAATCATATTCCAAATGAATTTGTTTTGTGCACATAAAAAAATAAAAATTATTATGCCATAAAAACCATACTTGAATGTTCTAGCAGAGAAAGTTGGCACTGGTGGACTGAAATTATTGAATGACAAATCCCTGTAAGAGAATTTAATTATTAGGTCTTTTTTGGTATGATGCAAATAATTTTTACACAAAAAAAGATAAGGAGTCATTGATTACTTTGTCACAAAAAAATATTTAACCACTATTCCTTTTTAGGCATCTCATAAAACATTTTCCACTCAATTTATTTCTTTTTTTAGTGATGAACTTGTGGCTCACGAGATTTTTATCGTATTCGAACAAATTCTAACTATACACTTTTCAATATTTTTTCTTATATCGTGTGAAAGTTAAGTTAAACTAAATAAAGTTAACTATATACACTTTTTTCTTAAATCTTGTGAAAGTTAAACTAAATCATATTAGGCCTATAAAAAAGAGTGGAATAAAATTGGAAGTACATAAAGAAAAAGGGGGGGAATATATCTCACAAGAAAGCAAGTTTAGGGACCCTTGTTAAAGGCAGAGGAATAGCCCCAGAGAAGCTATTGTTGTTCAACCTCCTGTTCATTAAATGGCAGTAAAAATTTAAAATAAAGGAACATTAAAAAACAAGAAAAATTAAAAAATAATTTTGTAAAAAATAGAATATTTATCCACAACATACAAATACTGGAGATTGTTTAATAGGCCCAATGTTTCTGGCAAATGACCAGAAAACCCATTGTTGGATAGATCCAAAGCCTGGAGGTTGGCAAGTTTGCCAATCTCTTTTGGAATGTGGCCTGAAATATTGTTGTTTTGCAGCAATCTGCATGAAATCAAATATGGTACAAATTATTTCAAGAATTTGGACTCTAATACAAATGGGTATCTGAAATTCCACCATATATACTCTCCAAAATAGGGTGTTCTTACATTTGCTTGAGATTTGTAAGGTTTGCTTTCAACCCAGACAAGCTCCCAGATAAACCTTGGCTTGGTGCTATTCTGCAAACAAATCCCAGAAATAAATTCACCCTTTTTTTACCTTTAACTCCATATATAAATAAACACAATAATCCAAAATAAGAAGAAGAAGAATTAAAAGGATGAACACTCACAGTGCAGTGACAAGATTATCAGAAGAACAAGTTATCATAGCCCAGCTGCAAGGATCCACAGAGTTCACATCCCAATTCCTCAACGCCCCGTTTGGATCCTCCAAGTCATTCCTCAAAGCTATCAAAGCTTCAACTGCACCAAACAAACAAAACCCCAATGAAGAAAAAAAATTTACCCAAAATCAGAAAATTGAAGAATTAAAATTCCTCCGTAGCATTTTTGAATCACCTTCCGGGCTCCTCCCTTCAAATGACAGAGAAACACAGGCGGAAACAGAGAAAACCCAGAGAAGAAAGAGACCCCCTCCATGACTGAGATGCATATTCAACACCCAGAGAGATTTTTAAAATTTTCTGGAAAAAGATTAAATTTTTAACATTTCTGCATTCATTCAACAAAAAACACAAGAATAAAGCAGGACTGTGGTAAATGGGGTAGTGGGTATAAAGAGAGAGAGGGGGGGAGAGGATGATACGGGATGTCAGTGACAGTGAGGAGGTTTGAAGGTCAGAAAAATGAGAGGGACAGGAATATAATGAGCCAAAATCTTTGTTTTTTGCCCAAGGGGTATTTCTTTTATGCAGTGGTTGGGTTACAGCCATGGAATGAGATGGGGAAGGAGATGCAAAGTGAGAGGGTGGGGTTATTTTAGGCACACAACACAAAACTGATGTGCAATTATTTCTCATTTGTTCCTTTTGATTGTCTATTGGAAAAGAAGAAAAGACCAGACAATGAGGTTACAAAATCTGCTGCTACTACTAGCAATTAATCCTTGATTTATTAATTCTAACATTTTATTTTTTAAAAAAAAATTAAGATGAACCCCATCCTTGAAAACTCCCTCAGATCCGACTAAACAATTATTAAGAGCATCAATAAAGGTAAGGCAAAAATGAAATGTCGCACAGTGACGTAGAACATTTAAACCAATCAAAAATATAGTTAGGATATGACAAGTGAATGGAGTGACAAACTCTACAGTGACAAGTCATTATTTTTATCAATTTTTACTTTTTTTAATGTTTTTTAAACATATTTTTTTTATATAATTTATTTTATCAAAAAATTATTCTTCTTTCTTATACATTTTTTCATAAAAAAATTCAAAAAAAAAGAAAAAAAAGAAGGGTGGAGTGCCACACTCATGCCTCACTAAGCAAGGCATTTTTGGCTTTGTCATGCCATGATATGAGAGGATGAGCTGATTTGGCAGTGTAAGACATTCTTTTTCCTTGCCAGTGCACATGCTCTAAGAGAAGATAAATAAGATTTTAATCACAGATTGGTGATAGTGAGTGGAGGCTGCTCCTACAACTTGCAAAGACTCTATGATTAGTATTAGGAATATAATAATAATAAATGTATTAAGAAATATATGGGGATGTATCCAAGATGCTCGAAAATCTACTCTTTGTTTTGACCGAGCACATCACCGGTCCATGTTCACGGCGATCGACCGTCCGACAGCATGGTATCGCCGACCGATCTCGACGAGTGTGCATAACAATTGTGATCGGAAAACAAGAAAGTTGCATTTTGTCTTTGTTTTTTTAGAGATCGAGAGCACGGAAAGCGATAGAAAAACAGAGAACGACCCAACAGGAGAAAAAAGAAACTCATTGCCCTCGCTCCAATCACTGACACTCTCATTGGGGAAAACATAACAAACGTAATCCCAAGGTCATTCGTCACGCAACAAAGATATGACTCTCTACTTTTTGATGTTAACCTTGCAAACCTGCTTTCGTCGTTTCAAATCCAGAACATGTGCTTCAAGATGCTCCTCGTTATCGATAATAACCTTGTGGGGTATATTAGGAATAATAGGTTTCTCAGGAGATAGAATATTACGGAGTATTATTCATTACCTTCCTTATTAAATTACTTTCTTATTGTATTTTGACTAAAATATTTCTCCTACTTAGACCAGAATTTTCTCTTGTAGTCCTTATATAGGGATGCATCCCTCATTATTCAATAAAACCATTTATTATCAAATTGTATCACTTAGTATAGTTGCGTCCCAGCCCAGTTACTAGAAATCAAACTCGGGTCTACTCCTTGACGCAGTTACCAGGAATCTTGGTCAATTATCCTAAGTTTTATGTCATCTTTAAACTTTTAACGTATTTCAACCATATTTTAATCATGAATGCATTTATTAGTACTCAATCACGATTTTAACTGTAACCGACCGAATCAAATCTTAAGCAGAATCCGAATTAAGAAAATAAATATTCAAACCTAACTTGCCAAAATCAAACTCGAACCCAATCTAATTAAAGTTAGATTTTGATATACTAAAACCCGAGCAAACTCAACCTGTTGCCATACAATTACCCTTTGTGCTCCTATAGTCCTATGTCTTACTCCCATCCAGATTTTTTTTTATTATTGGAGGTTTTCGACAACTTTAGTTTACATGTGTTTTTTCATTGGTCATTTAAATATTCTTATAGCAACTTGCTTTGTAAAATTTTTCATGTATTCCATAATTTTTATATGCTATTCAAAATAAAAAAAATGTTTTTTGAGATGAATAGAGTATGTGCATATCCAATTGTTCAAATTTCTTTAAAAAACTGTGAAATCAAAACGAACACTTTTTGGAAAGGATGTCATAATTAATTATTCCATAATTTACTATTGAGAATTCTTCGCATGTAATATTTCGGGTTCAATTTAAAGAAAATTCTTCCTGTTTCCATTGAACATTTTACAAAATAATATAATCATATCACTTAGTCCGATTCGTATTACTTTATACTCCCTCCGTCCCACTCTTTTTGTCCACTTTCATTTTTGCACACCATCCAATGCACTTCTTTAATCCATTTTATCTTGTAATTTGTATATTAAAAAATTATAAAAATTATATATTAATAATCTATATGTTAAGACAAATCAAACAAGATCACACATGACTATTTTTAGACTTACACATTGAGAGAATTTGATGAGTCAAAGTGCTTAGATAAACAGTTCCAAAAGTCAAAACTGGACAAAAAGAGTGGACGGATGTAGTAAAATTTATGATACGATTTTTAAATATATAATATTTTTTATTTTTTAACCCTAATTTTAAAATAACCTGAATTAAAAAATAATTTCTTTGAAGTAGTAAAAATAATTTCTTTTGTGGTCGTCACCATCGAATTATTGTTGGTGTAGTTTGTTGTTCACATTACGTGCATGGCTCGATCAGTTCCATTTTGTTGATGTGACTAACCCGGTCCGGTTGAGTATGCAAATCATCAAAATATACTCTCTTCCTCTCTTTCAAAAATTTTGTATAAGTTCGAATAACGTGTAAAATTCAATCATTTTTAAAATTCTTTTTTTAATAAATTAATATAGAAATAATTAAAATTATTTTTTATTTTATTTATAAATATTAATTTATTAAGTAAGATATGTCAAAAATATAAGATTTTAAAATAATAAATGAAAAATACCCAAATAAATAAAAGTTATAAGGTTGTTGGGTGTGCCCTGTGTGTCCCTTCATTAAAAGCACGGGCAATGACAAGTAACGAAATAGAATGCTATACGTTGATGTGACACATTTCAACCAATAAAAGACAATCCAATCAGCGTGTGGCAAGTGAGTGGAGTGACATCTCGTGCAGTGGCAAGTCATTGTTTTTGTCAATTTTTATGATTTTTTAATGCATTTTAATTATTAAAAATTATTTCATTTATTTTTTTAAAAAATAGATGTACTCTTTTTTTAAAAAAAATTATTTCTTCTAAAAAATAAAAAAACCTGAAGATGCCGCGCGCCTCACACGCTTGGCGTGGAGGGAGGCTGAAGCCACGCGAGGCAAATTGCCGATTCTGCTGATGTGGCGCAGCGAGCGAGGAAATGCCTCGCTGCTGCGCATGCTCTAACAAAGCCAAGCACACAAGGAGGGAGAAAGGAAGAAGGCTCTAATGTGAGTGGGGACCTTTCAAAAGAAAAAAAGATTAAACTACAAGTAATAACATAAAGAAAGTATCACAATAAAAAACTTTATATTTTTTATTCTAAAGAAATATAATGCCAATATATTAACATATAGTACAGAAAATGCAATAGGATGTCACTATATAATATTATAATGTCACATTGCAAACTTTTATTTTGAAGATAAAAATATAAAAAGATGACGCCCTTAATGATCGAACAAAATAGGACTTTCATGTTTTTTTTCCCCGAAATAGGACTTTTCACTGTGGTAATGTGACTTTGCCCTGTGGTAATGTGGCAGTGTACATGTGCAAATTACCATACTTTTTTGGTAATGTATATGACCATGTGTGGTAATGTAAGTCTTATTTTGGGAATAAAAACATAAAAATCCTATTTTGGTATATTTTCAATGTTTTAGTCCTACTTTGGTCTTTCTCCCTAAATTTTTCAAAATTACCATTATTTTTTAAGAGAGGTAACAATGAATGAAAAGATAAAATAGAGAAAAATTATTTTAGAAATAGTTTAAATATTTTACAATGACAAGAAACATGCAACTTATTTTGAGACAAAAAAAACTTGTAATTTAAAATGAGACAAAAGTATAATCATTTTACCATGGAAAATGATCCAAAAATGAAATGGTGTCATTCTTTAGGGCAAACAAAAATGGAAGGAGTGATTACTATTGGGATAGAGGAAGTATATTTTACATTCACAATGAGAGAATGATTATTTTTCAAAATCAATGCGGGATAGAAGAATCATACTATAGCGTGGAAAAGAAATGATATTTTTCATAAAGTCAAAAACAATTTTATTTCACTGGTGCGGATTAAAATACTAGTTTGATTAAAAAACAGAGGGTTCACAATGGAGAATACAGAGCAATCAAAAACCCAACTGAAACAACACTTGCAAGTCTCCAGTACAAAGTAACTCTTGAAGAAAACCAGTCAAAAAATTTTAACAGTTGTAGCCATAAATTATTAGTCCGATCTAGAAGTAATACGAAACAGATAATGGGATTCATTAAGAAGCATACTTCATAATTACTTCTTCTCTTCTTTCTCGGCCTCTGCTGCCCTCTTCAGCCGAGCACCAAAGTGACGCTGGTTCGTACGCTCACGGCGCAACTTGTCATAAGCTCTGAAGGATTTCATCTCTTCGGTGACCTTGACCAGTTCAACATTCGGCTTATCCATCACAATTGGCATAATTGGTCCCTTGACTTGAGTTGCATTTGCTAGCTCCTCAGGAGTTGAGTCCCCAGCCTGCAAAAAAGAATGGATTACCCTTTGTTTTTTGTTTTTCAAAATCAATTTTTTTAGGCAGACTTGTCTGCGTGTTAATGGTCAGCACTCCAAGTTATTCTATAAAAGCCAGAAGGATGGCACGCCATGGTAAAACACCTTGGAGGGACACTCAAAATTGGAGCACCCAAGAGAGAATGTTGAATGTTACCTTGAATTTGTTGGTGCGTCTTGGGAAGATGACTAGCTTAGCTTTGTATGCCTTGAGCCTCTGGACATTGACCTGAAGGCCTTCAAGAGACCTGTTCCTTCGGCGATGATCAACAGAAATGCCAATGGTTGGGGCCAATTTCTTGGGAATACCAGCAGCCTTTTAAAAACAGAAGACAGAATTAGAACTACAACCCAAATATTTTTTGTACAGAAATACATTAATTGAATGAACTTAAATGCAAGTAGCCTATTTGGCAAGTGTGAATGTGTGATTACACTCATATGCTGAAAAGGACTAATTTTTTACAAAAAGAAATGTAAGATGAAATGCTATTCAGCCAAATAATTAAAAGGCTACAAGTTCTACTCAAACAGTTATCAGTAGAATAAGAGAAAACTTAACATCATTTACAAACTTCACCAATGCTCTATTGCTTTGAAATAAGAAACCTATTTGAAGGCCACTGATATAGATCAAAGCATTATTTACACACATCATGAGAGATAATGGTTTTACTCATAACTTAATAAAAATGGAGTATGTTATAATTACAAGTAAAACTTATTATAAAACTTCAACTGGAGAATGTGACCCATGCAGTGACATAAGGTGTAACTCTAGCTGTAACTAAGAACACACCCTAGGGTGACGGTCAATTCGTGCTTTGATGACTTTTGTGCGATTGAGATTTGTAGCACTTATCAAAACAAATAGCCAAATGTTAAATCCCCCCACACCCACACATGCATTGAAATTAAATTGCCTAATAAACTTTGAATATGTTGCTAATAATGGTGTAAGAAAAATACTTTCAGCTCTTCAAGAGAGAACCCTCTTCCTGCTCTGATTTTCATGTTGTACTTCTGTGTCTGCCCATGAACAATGGGTCGAAGTAGACCAGCAGTAGGTCTAGGGAAAATCTTTACAGCTTTCTTTTGCCTAGCTGCAGAGACAAGATACCCATACATAAATATATTATACTTAAAATGAAAATGGAATCACAAAGAGGATACTAAACAATTATACTAAATTCTCCCAACCAAAATTGAATAAAAATACTAACCATTGCGTCTCCTGGTTTTCCGGGCGGGTTGGTTGAACCAGGTTTTGACATAGCTTTGCCAATGCTTCTTAAAGTGCCCATTTGGAATAACATTGTTATGCTTCACCATGTCTTCTTACCTGCAAACAACACACACAGAATAACTTCTAACACTATGTTGGGGGGTATTTCATTTTCTGAAGACAATTCTAGAAACAGAAAGCTCGAGCAAATTCCTCACGAAAATTAAGAATGCCAATGATGTCTAAAATCTAGCAACACAGTCAAATCGAGAGATTTAACACCAAGAAAAAACATAAATGCAGGGATGAAACTAACAAACCTCACATTCTAATAAATGCAAAAAATACAGGATCAAACAGATATTTCTAAGCAATAGACACTGATGATGATGATGACGACGATGATGATGATAATAATAATAATAACTCCGTTCATACAAATACTTCAATGTATGAGATTCAACATAAAATATATCTATTCCTTAAAAAATGACAAGAAACAAAAATCTAAAAACCATACTGATTGGAAATGAACACAAATATAAAATAATCGCAAAATCGAAACAAAAATGCAAGTATAAGAGCGAAAATACTTATTGGAAACTTGAAAATAAGATCTATGGAGCGACACATCATACAAACCATCGCGGAAATAAGTCTGATGCAAAATCTATAGATCTATGTTTCACATTTGGAGCATTTTATCAGATCAAATCATACTCCGCTGATAATTAATAAGCAACTTCAAAGTGTTTTTCAAGAGTTCCGAAATAAGATTTGAAGAAAAATACCTCCGGTCGTCGTCGGGTGTGGAGGGCGGATGGGCAGTCGGAGAAGAAGTGACGAACAAATGTTGAGTAATACGGAGTATATTATTGCGGAAATCGGATCTAGGGTTTGGGGTTTTGGTGATGGGTGATAAATTGAAGTTGGGCTTATGTCCAATTGTAAATTTAACTTGGGCCATATGCAGATATGCTCTGCATTTTACTTATCTCAGAGTATTGAACTTTTTTGAGAAATAGTGAATGAATTTTAATACATTTTAATACTCTGAGATTCTAAGAACGGTTCTCATGATATTGTCCATTAATGTAATGGGATGACCTGAGGGCGCTCTGTTGTCCAGTTTGTAAGATTACCGGGGGAAAGGATTAAGGGGGTAAGAACCCTCAATTTTATTAATGGGACACCGGAGCGCCCTCGACATGGATTCTAATGTCATGGGAACCCCACCGAATATTCTAATCAGTTTCATTAAATTTGTGTTGGGTATGAATATATTCCTTCACTCTTACATATTCCCTCCGTCCCTAAATCATTTACAGATTAATGATACGTTTCATTTACCTGATCTAGTCTGATTATAGTTATAATTAAAGTTCTTTCTCATTTGATTTGGTCTGATCTGATTATAATAAAAATAAGTAATGAGCAAAAAAAATAAGTTGAACAGAATGCTAACAAAAGTATTTGACCCAGACCGTCTACTCCATATTTAACAAAATTTAAAATATTGTTCAATTTCAAACTTTTTATAGAATTATTTTTCAATTTAGCTCTATTTTTATTGCTTACAAGAATAAAAATTTATATTCATATGTTTTAAAACTACGTCGAAGTTATATTAAAAAAAGGAAATGCATGTATTATTCAATCAAATTATCAATGGAAAAGAATAAAAAATATAATCTTCGCATGTGAATAATGATTACCTCTTTTATTTTGGTAGGAAAGAAATATCAAAGTTTCAGTTTTTTGTTTTGAAATAAACTTCACACATTCTCTCAATTGTTTTAAATGAAATAAGTATGACTTATAAAATCTTACTTTTAAAAATAGGAAAAATTATCCAAAATAATCCCAACTTTACCCGGTCTTTCAAAAATAATCCCAGCTTTCACTGTGATGCATAATAATCCCAACTTTACTGAAATTTGCCAGTTTTGGGACGCCGTTAAGTTTCTAACGGATGGTTAACGGAAATGCCCGTTTTAGGCAACAAAATGAAAGTTGGGATTATTTTTGATGAATTTTCATTTTTTTATTTTTTTGTAATTTTTCATTTAAATTTTTTAAATTACTTTCTACCTAAATCATCATTTCTTTTTCCTTTTTTAAAGATTAGTATTAGTTTAAAAAATAAAAATAATAGATATAAAAAATGAAAAAATTGAGAAATTTAACTAAAATGATACAAAAATAATAAAATAAATAAGGTAATCAATGGAAACTAACTTGAAATTGGTAAAAGTAAAATAAAAATATACGGGTGGGTTTTAATTTTTTACGCATTATACAAAGTATTAACATGTCACTTCTAATTTTTTAGAAAAAATTATCTACAATAATTCCAACTTTACCGGACGGCTTGTTCTTTTAAAAAAATAAGTAGTACATTAAGACTCCGTATAGTGTGTAAAATGTTAAAACCCACCACTTCGTATATATTTATTTTATTTCTTACCAATTTTTGTTTAATATCTATTGATTACATTATTTATTTGATTAATTTTGTATCTTTTTAGTTATTTTTCTCATTTTCATTATTTTATATATATATTTTTTTCTAAGGTAAGAATAATCTTTAAAAAGAAAAAGAAATGGAGGTTGAAAGTAATTCAAAAAATTTAAATAAAAATTTCAAAAAAAATTAAAAAACAAAAATTCATCAAAAATAATCCCAATTTTCATTTTGTTGCCTAAAACAGGCATTTCCGTTAACCCTACGTTAGAAACTTAACGGCGACCCAAAACTGGCAAATTTCAATAAAGTTGGGATTATTATGCATCACAGTGAAATGTGGGATTATTTTTGAAAGACCGGGTAAAATTGAGATTATTTTGAGTAATTTTTCCTTAAAAATAATATATAATCTTACGTAGTATATTTTAAATCTTGAATATTTTCTTAAATGTTGTCAATCAAATTGGGAGGTACTTTGAAAGGAATATGTTGATTGAGTTGTGCTTTCATATAAATAATGTGAACAGTCTCACACTTTCATGTACTTAATTTAGTCAAACATCGTAAACCAAAACAGATAATATAATATGGGACGAAGGCCGAAGGGAATACTTTGTAGTATATAGTTGTGCTAGGGAAACCCACGATTTTGACACCACCATTGATCTGCTCAGACACGCACATACAATAACTATACGTGCTACACGCCTACACCAAGAGTTATCATCAGCGTTAGAAGTAAGCACTAACATTTTGAAAATGTTATCTGACTGTAACCTTTAACGTTAACATTTTCAGAATAAATCAACACTCTTAAAATTTTATCTAAAATTTCAACGATAATTGAAAAAAAAATGATAGGGGTACACCAAAGGTACACCTTTGGTGTACCACATTTGTCCTCCACACGCTCCTCCACCACATAAATGGGCAAAAAATTTAAAAATAAATAAATAAATAAAAATGAAATAAAAATATGTAGTGGAAAAGAGGGTGGGGAACAAATGAGGTACTCTTTTGGTGTATCCTAGCATTGCTCTAATTGAAAATGTTGTTGGCAAAGAAGATCTATACATAGTGGTTGGTGGTGTCAAAATAGTTTTTCTCCCATTTTTGTAAAGGCCTAGCGTCTAGCAGAAGTGCAGAAGACATTCCACGCTATTATCTCAACAAACCCTAAACTTAAATTTTGTTGTCAACTGATCCGATGCCAATTGACAAATCCGCCAAGATCTTCGTGGCGGGTCACGGCGGCCTTGTCGGTTCCGCCGTAGTCCGGAAGCTCAGCCACCTCGGCTGCACCAACCTCCTCCTCCGCACCCGTTCCCAGCTCGACCTCACCGTCCAATCCGCCGTCGACGCTTTCTTCGCCGCCGAGAGGCCCGATTACGTCGTCCTCGCCGCGGCCAAGGTCGGCGGCATCCACGCCAACAACACCTACCCGGCGGACTTCATCACCATTAATCTCCAAATCCAGACCAATGTGATCACCTCCGCCTATAATCACGGGGCTAAAAAGCTTCTATTCCTCGGGTCCTCTTGCATCTACCCCAAATTCGCTCCTCAGCCCATTCCCGAGGATGCGTTGATGACAGGTCCTCTGGAGCCCACGAACGAGTGGTATGCCATAGCCAAGGTTGCAGGCATAAAAACTTGCCAGGCTTATAGAATCCAGTTCAATCTCGATGCCATTTCTGCAATGCCCACGAACCTATACGGCCCCAATGATAATTTCCACCCAGAGAATTCGCACGTTTTGCCGGCACTGTTGAGGAGGTTTCATGAGGCCAAAGTGAGGAATGATGAGAAAGTTGTGGTGTGGGGGAGTGGATCGCCACTCAGGGAGTTCCTCCATGTGGATGATCTGGCGGATGCTATAGTGTTCTTGCTGGAGAATTACAGTGGAGCGGAGCATGTGAATGTTGGGAGTGGGAAGGAGGTGAGCATAAAGGAGCTTGCTCAATTGGTGAAGGAGGTTGTGGGGTTTAAGGGGGACATTGTTTGGGACTCATCGAAGCCGGATGGAACTCCAAGGAAGCTCATGGATAGCTCTAAGCTTGCAACAATGGGATGGGTACCAAGAATCTCACTCAAAGATGGTCTTGCTGATACCTACAAGTGGTACTTGGACAACTATGTGCAGAAATAATATAGGTGATCACCAAACACCAATCTGTTATCTCTATGAAATACAATGTCATATTCATGTTTCTGTTTTCGTTTTTTTTTTGTGCCAAAAGTTTGAAAAATCATACCTTTTCAACTTGTTGTAACAAGAAGGGGCTTAGTTTAGTTTCGATTCTGATTATATGATAAAACCTTGGTGTTGTATGCAGTGCAATTTTAGACGACCCCAAGTTACTTTGGGATATAAGGCTTAGTTGTTGGTTTAGGGTTCTAAGTTTACCTGGTAGAAAATTTAATAGGGATGCCTACCTTGATGTTCTTGGCCATTTCTCATCGGGATCGAAGTTTATCTGCTAGAGAATTTAATAAGAAAGCCTAAAAGAATTCAGTTGGCCACTCATTGAAGGACTTCTTTTAATTCTTCAACTTTGTAGATGAAGTCATGGAGATTCATAGTTAATGATCTCTTGTTGCTGGTCTATTAGATGTAATTCTAAAAAAAGATATAAGCATAGAAGTTTACCTGCAATGCAAAAGACCTGATCTTAAAAATATTTACAACAAGAACCTGCTAATATTTTCTTATATAGGAAGAATGGTATCGCCCAATTTGTCGCATAAATGCAATAGCGCGGTGGTGCCTAGTAAATGATCCATTTGTGGGACCTCTCTGGGCTGTATTTGTAAAGAACAAGTTTTTTTCTTGCATTTTCACCTAGGTAGAGATGGGGATGCCTAGTTGGATGATCTGTTGCTAACTTGCTATGAGAGATAGCTAGCATACCAGCCAAAAGAACATTGTTAGTTGAGAGTTTGAAAGGATAATATCCCTTCATTCTTTTGTCATATTATTATGTTAATCTCAGTTTCTTTGTCCCTGTCCCCAAAACACTCTTAAAGGCTTAAACATTTATGGTTATCAAGTCATAGGATTAGGAGCCTGCAACTTTAAATAACAGTTGCCTCTTTGAATTATACCCAGTACTTACATGTTACTTTAATTTTATGTTAATCTTATAGGAGTCTTGAATGGATCTAGAATGTCTTGATTCTTGAATATATGTAGGTGCTTCAATACAACAGTGTTTTTATTATAATTAAGAATACATGCCACTCTATTTTTCTTGAATACTATCATAACATGATTTTGTGTGGTACCATGAACTTATCTTTTGAGTTTTGACACCCAATTATGCTGCAGCTTGCATAAAAAAGGCATCAAAACTAAATTGGGTGGCCAGAAAAAGTGTTAATATTTCCTCCATCCAAACTTTAGTTTTGATCAGTGGAGAGAGCGGAGTATCCCGACCAATCTGTGATTAAAGTCTAATTTACTTCCTCTCAATCACTGTTCGGCCGGATCTGAGGGGGCCCTCGAAGATGGGGCTCATCTTTTTTTATGGGTGGAGAATGATATGGTAGAGTTTTGAAGGAAAAAAACATAGTATAAAATTCATCCCTAGGATCTCCAAGCGTGACTCGATTGTTCCCTTGGTAAAAAATAAATTGAGTTATAACTTTGCTCGGACAATGTAAGTTAGAGATATGTTTTGCAATATATATATATATATATATATATATATATATATATATATATATATATATATTCACCCTAGCATAATTTGTCTCTTAGTGCAGTTGTCAGTATTCAAATTTGTCTTTGTCAACTGAGCAATGCCCACCAGTGTTACAACTATAGATTGAGTTGCAATGTGTGGGCTTTTTTTTATGTGTACGAAATAGTGAATGACACAGGCAAGACACTTCCAATTCTCTCTATCCTTCACTTTCTGTATTGTCCTTTCTTCTTCCTTTCCATTGACCCCACAATACTCCCTCCGTCCCTAAATATTTGTCACACTTGTATTCTTAAAGCGGAATATTAAGTTTTTTCAATTCATTTTATTTATATATTGGTATAGAAATAAAAAATAAAATTTACATGTAAAAATCTACATGAAAAGTTCTTCGAAATAAGAGGTGTCAAGAATATTTTATTTTATCAAATAACCAATGAAAACGTAGAAATAAACAAAAGTTCCCGTGACTGCTGAAAAAGCAAACGTTGCAAATAATTTGGGACGGAGGGAGTAAATAAAATAAAAACCAATTTTAGGTTCACAAGCAAACTGATGATAATAGATTTCACAAACTTACTATTTATGTTTTAAATTTTTTTAAAAAAATTTTTAGACTACTTATTTTTTTTATTGAAGTTCACAAATAGTAAGATTGTAAGGTTTGTGATCATATTGTTTTTGAACCAAACATTTCTCTTTTTATCGGTTAAAAAACGATCATTCTCTATTTATGAAACTTTTTTTGTGAATCTTTTTGTTAGACGGATGTACGGAGTAATATTTTATTTGTGCAACCTCACCACATTCAAAATTAATTGATACTACAAAATACTCCTTCCGTCATTGAGTATTTGTTCATTTTTGACTTTTTTTAGTCAAAATTGGTAAACTTTAACCTCTAATTAGATAAAAATGACATTAGATATTGATACAAAAATAGTTTTATTAGATCTATTATATGAAATATTTTCAAAATATTATTTTATATAATTAATAAATAATATATAGGTCAAAGATTGAAAATAATTGACTGAAAAAAAAGTGGACAAATACTCAGGGACGGAAGTAGTACGAAATAGGGTCTAATGGTACTAAACTACTAGCTAGTCAACATAAGCTAAAAGTAAATTTGAATAGTATGGATTGTTTTTTAAAATGTTAAATCTAAATTGTGACATTAATATCAAATGGGACCGAGTTAAATAAATAGATATTGTCATCTTTAATTTTTTATGAGAGAATAGTCGGAGAAACAATTTTTGGAGTGTTTCTCTCTGCAGGTGTTTGTTGACTTATTGTTGATAAAAAGTTTTCAACTTATACGTCAAATATTTATTCATGAAAGTCAAATAACCTAAATACTAGTAATTGATAAGTCACTTGGAAATATTCATAAATAGTGGGAGACACTTTTGTAAATATACTGATCAAAACCTAGACAAAAAAATTGATTTAAAAATAAGTAGCTAAGACTTATTTATCTTTTTTAACTTTTAAATACGAGTACATAGAAGCATGTCATCAGCTAATTTATAATTAAAAAACTGTTTATAAGCCCCATCTTATAAATAGAGAACCCCACTTTGTATGTCTATTTTAAGTGTGACAATATGGGTTGGAGTAATGGGCAAGGCTACTGCAAATTTCCATAAGCTATGTAAACTGATAATCAGCAAAAGAGTGACTACAAAAAACCTCACTATAGTACAAAAATGTCATCTAAATATAATCCACCCCCTACCCCCCAAAAAATGGAAATTAGAATAGACGCCCATTTTGTACCAAATTGAAACCCCTATATTTAAGAAAATTAAATAATTCAGCATTTGGGTTGAGCATTTTGAAAAAGTTAATTAATTGCAAAGTTTAATTTTTAATGTTTTCAAAATTAATTTGCGCGGTTAATAAGTTATTCAAAATACTAATTAAGAACATTGTTTCCGCACAAGACCAAAACCAGTCATTTGGAATTTGTTTTATGAGGACGAACAATTAATGAGTTAATAGTGAGTAATTTCTTTTATTATATTAAGTACTCCATAAGTAAACATTTTTCAACAATTTTTTCTTTCAAATTTTATGAAGTTCAAGTATTAACTTCATTTTGAAGACAAAAGAAATTATTTATACTCCAAAACCAATTCAAATAATATTTATATTAAAAAAAACTTCAGTTGCCATTTCTCATAGTCTACAGTTCAACTGTTGTTTTCCCCAAATTGAGAGAAATTAAAAAAATCAACCAATAATTTCAAAGGCAACAATAGTAATTTAATTAATAGAAATTTAAAAAAAAAAAAAGATCAAAAGAAGGAAGAAGCCAACCTGCAAATAATCCTTTCATGGAGAAAAAGACAGATACTCCGAATATTAATATATGACATAAAAACATGTAAATATTGAGCCGTCCCCGCCAACATCACCGCCCCCGAGGAGTGACGTCACCGCCACCGCGATCCTGTTTCTTGTGCCGCCGCAGTCGCCGCCGTCTCTTCCGCCACCGCCATTTTGATTGTAGCCTCACACTTCCGATAATTTATAGCCAAACAGCAGACATTCATGGTTTGCTACGAAACTGATTTTTTTAGAAATCAATTTGGAAATATTTATATAGAGAGAAGATAAGGTCCTGGTTTGGTTTTCAAGATTTTCACTTGTCTTGAAAACATGGCATTGGAACAGGTATGACCGTATAATTGCACATTTCCACGCCAGCAACGTCTTTAACTTAAAAAAAAAATTACCAATAACGGGACATTTTGAGATACTTACGAGTTGTGTCCATGAAATTGAAGGTTTTTATCCCTCTATATCTCTCTTAAACCTCTCACTTCAGCCCTTCTCGCTCCCGACAAGAAGAAAGGGGGTTGAGAGAAGGACTGAGGTTGTGGGTTTAAGAATTGACTAGGTGGTAAAAATTATCAATTTTATAAACGGAGTATCGTTGATTCATATGTGTCTGGATCATTCTCGAGTCATGTTGTTCTAAGGTCCAAAGAACCATGGTGTTTCTACACATATATTATCAAGATTTGGTCTTATAAATAACGAACAAGAACTTTTTTGACCGGTGCAATAAACTATTTAAAATCTCACTAAAAAAATGAATTACTCTGTATATTTTAGACACTAATATTGTTATTTCTACTGTTGTAATTGTCATCATTCTCTCACATTGTTTTATTCAATGTGTATGTGTGTTTGTGTGAAATGTGAGAACAAAAAAGGCAAGACCTTTACCAATAAATACTCTCTCTATTTCTACCGAAAATTTGTTGTTTGACTTAGTTGAAAAAACACTACTAGAGCTCAATTTGCACATCTAAAACTATAATCTATGGAGCATAAGTTAAAGCAAATTGCCAAACAATTAAAATTGTATTTTGGTGAAATATAAGCTCAAATGTTGTTCTCAAACACAACTCCAAACACCCTTTTAGGATGAAGCCTTACTAAACTTTCCAAGACAAAACTGCAATGCTAACTGTCCAGTGTCCTTTTTTTCCCTGTGTTGCTTCTAAAATGGGTGGAAAAATGCACCATGATACACTTGAAAAGAAAGATGGTTTTCATCTCATTTTTACTTCACTTACCCTCCATTTCGCTTGGCCAAGAAACCAAAATACAAAACCGATGAGTTATCTATACACACAAATGGCTCTCAGTGCGGATTCACATGAACCGTAGCAACACAAGAAGTAGAGGTTCTCTTCCGCTTAGAACCCCAGCAGAAGTTGAGCCTGCTATTTGTCTTCTTTTTGGAGCCTAGAAAACCCTGACAATTAGGAGCTCCACAATAGCACTTCTCTTCGGGCCCGAATTGTACAAATCTGTAAATTGGGAAATATGAGATATAGATGTGTTGCATTACGACCACTTCTGCAAAAAGGACGACTTTATCTATTACTCCCTCCATCCCAAAACCAAGTTCCCGGGTCGGCTTAAGATGTTTGGCTTAAGTTATTTTCCATATACTCCGTATTTGAAAATGATGTAGAATTTAAATATAAATAAAAGTATATATTCATAAACTACATAAAAAGTTCTACAACTATACGTAGTATGATTTTATCATATGAGTTACGAAAATAGGCAAACAAAGTAAACAAAGTTAGACCATGTAAACAAAGTAAACAAAGTTAGACCGTGTTAATAGTGAATGTGAGCTTCATTTTCAGACGGATGGAATATATGCTATACTCTATCTTTGCTAAATTAAACTCTTTGAGAACAAGAGTAATATTGACTTGGGCACCAAAGGGTCAAGATCACAATATGGAATCTATATTTACCAGTTATTTCTACAATGACTGCTTATATCTCTTATTAGGAAAATTTAGACACAGAAATATAGAAATGCTTAGCTTATAGGAATAATACTTTTCTTGTTTTGAATTGTACCAAAATTTTCTATTTTTCTTATTGATTCCTTGGGAGGCAAGGAATGTTGTTCATATAATTTTATCTCTTTTCTAAATAAACCTCAACCAGATAACTTCATTTTCTTTATAATTGTGCCAAAAGCAAATGAGAACAAAAAATGAGACAAAGGAAGCAACAAATAGATGGCACACCTGTAATCATAAGTCAATGGCTCACCCACTTCAATGTCCCGATTAGCAAATACACCAACACGAGTCTCGCGTTCAACTTGCCTTCAGTGAAGAAACAAATATATGAGCAGCTGTTTTATCAGTGTCAAGAGATGTCACACATATTTCAATAAAACAAATCTCATGGTCCCTGTCATTACAGCATATATGGGACATAAATGTTGTTGCTAAAGAAATTTGATTGAGTAACAGAACAAGTTCAAGATTTGCTGGCCAAATGTGATATCTTCATTTGAAAAACATCCTCATTAAACCATGCATAAAAATTAGTTTTTTTCCCTTCGAATATTTAAGAGTTATTAATAGTAGAGTCCTTGTAACTAAGTATGTGCCATTTTGTTGTGTTTACAAAAGAAAATTTTAATAACAGTTTGTGATTCAAGGAGAACCAACTAACCATTTCTCTAGTTTGCAGTTGGGTTCACAGCTGTGATTCAGAAAGCGTGAAAAGTTCCCCTTAAAAGTTGCATCAATGGTGAAATCTTTTCGTATTTCACACATGTAAAAGTTTTTCTCTCTCCTGTATTTCATTTGCCAAAGCCTCTTTTCACACGTGGCATCATCAATAACTGAAGCAGGAAGCAAAGAATAACATTAGATACTTTATTCTTTGCATGTCAAAAGTAAGAGATATTAGTTTGGAGATCAATAATAATGCTCAAGTTATGTACAACTGTGGCTAGAATGCTAGATAAAGTTCAGGTTATATATTAATCATGGCTGCACTATCAACTTGCCAAAAAGTGGTTACCAAAATGAATAAATAAATTAAGGCAGCAAATGTTTCTAGCTGGAGATCCAGCAATGTTCATGATGATATGGCACTTACCAAAACAAATGGTTTGTAGCTTATAGTGACCAGTCTTGTTCAACAAATCTTTATTTATTTATTATTGCTGCGATTGGCTGCGGTATAGTTTCAAAAACTACATGGACTATTGTTTAAAATGGCAATAAATGATTTGTAGCAATTTAAGAAACACTCAGCACATGAGTAAACATAAAATAATATCATGCAATCTCCAAATGGTTAATTCCTTCCAGTATGGTAAAACGATACCGAATTACCTACTTAAGAGGGCAGGGGCAATAATGTGAGAATAGAATGCCAATAAAGGTGACCGTGTACGGGCCACTTTACGTAACAAAATGAAAGAAAATCCAATTATATATGCTAGTAATTTTAACAGATAGAAAAGGGTTATGAACGGTTATGTGTAATCTGCATTCAAATTTTGAAGAGTTTGGTCAAATATAAGACAACAAAATCAAACCAATTTCATAAAATAGAAAATAGTGTGAAGAATGGGAACAAGGGAACTAGAAATCCCACTAAAAAGAAATTCACCTTCTCCAATATACTCTATAATGAAATCCTCTTTCTTGATGGCTTCAGCTGCTTCAACACCCCAACCACAGAGTTTGGTCTGATTGCAATGCAGAGTTAAAATATAGGAATGATAATATACAGATATATAATCACTAATTCTTCAAAGATAAACACTTGGGTACATCTAAACAATTTAAGGAAATAAGTTGTATACTAAATATATATCAAGGAACTAAAATTGTTTGATATGGATAGACACATCACCTTGACTAGTTTTATCTTTTTCTCTTCTCGAAACGGCCTATTTGAGCACTTGCCGGAGCAGTGACAAGCCTTTGAGCAGCTTATGGACTGAACCCTAAAAGCCAAAAGCATTACAACTTCACATGCAAACATGACTTACTTCACCTATTGGGTTATGCCAGAAGCATTACAAGTTTACAACTTCACATGCTGAGATCCTTTGGTCTCAGTAGAATTATTAACTTCAGTGTGATCAGCATTTTCCCAATTACGATATACAGTTGAATGGGAAAATTCACTGTGTTGAATCTTGTAAATGAGATCAACGATGAAAGTTAGAAATTGAAATTTGAAGAAGGCACTAGACAAGTTGTCAAAGAAAATAAATATCTTATTAAGCAGCAGTAGCTGGCATGCAAAGCATTGGATGAAAAACACATTCACATATTAGATGGTTAAATGTAGTACAAGATGTGAAGAGAAAGTTTCTAACAAAATATGCAATAGAACTGAACAGAGGACAAACAACTAGACTAGAAACTCCAATTGCCTTCTTCTGCAGTTATGCATCATCACAGAAGATGACAAGAGGGCGCCTAGTAAGGGTGAAAAAGAATGAGCTACTTTAAGAACTCAGATAGCAGATTAGGAATCCTAACAGATAGAAGACTCACTATGGATTTTTATATCTGGACGGGAGGAAATTCATTGAAGAAGTTACAATACCTGCAGATACAACTCTCTAAGCACTTTGTAGAGCTGCAATTTGTGCATCCATTATCAACGCCAAAATCGTCAAGCTTTTTCTTGATGAGGTACACATCTACATCAGTCAAGGGCAATCAAGGTAAGTTTCATGGTTCCACTACTCATGAGTTGACATGTGTTTTAGGAACTATTTTATCATGAATACCTATTCTACAACTTCTCATGGCATGAAATAAACTTGCAACCTCATATCCATGTTGGCTAATTTAATGCACATTATAAAAAAACATAGAGGGCCTTTGAAAATTGAAAAGTATGAAAGTATCTGAAACTCGATGCCCAATATAAGCTGTCACATTGTTCGAAACAGAGCAGGGAGAGAACTGGACACAACAAAAAGTGAAAAAGAGAGCTAATAGCAGGTATTTTGTTCATTTTGAGCATGTAAGAATACTCAATTCATAAGGAAAGTAAAGTTTGAAAAGCTGATTCAGAAATGCATAGGATACTTCGCTTGATTGACTCATAAAGAGGTGGCTCCAATTTGCATTCATCTGTGTCCTTCCAGTTTAAGTTGATCTTAAACTCCTCCTCTGTGTATGGTAGAGGCAAGTAACTAAATATTTCCTGACATAAACATTATGAGTGTTAGCTAGCAATGTGTGTGAACATCAATACCTCAGGCATAAAACCAAAGAAAAATTTTAAAAAGTTTGGCAATATATCATGCAAAAGAGAGACCACTTCTCACCACTGAACTTTCCACTTTCAATTGTTTTGATTGGAAGGTTTAGTGGAAGAAAAACTCTAGACACAAATACAACAATGGTCATTTGTTGAGCATAGAAATGATTTGCCTAACCTCAATTTTATTGATTGGATCTTCATGCTGCTCATCAAACAAGATATGTCAGTCCTGTGAGCAAGCCTAATAAATCAAAATATCAATTAAGTGATAAACTAACAGTAAACATAATACAACTATACAGCTATGTTCCATTCATAACAGTTTTGCTATTTATGAGTATAGTTAAGGGGAAGTCGTCTTTGGAAGTTTGTCTATATATTCAAAACTGATTCATACTAATCCATGAAAAGTAACATGAAGATATGTCGGAGACACGGCCTTTTTATCTCAAAATGAAAAGAGTTTAGCCTTTGCAGTCTGTTCAATTTCTATATAGTTTATTAACTTTTTTTCATATGCTTTCCACAAATATAGGTGGACTTTTGATCCTAATATTGCATGCCAATAAATCTTATCCTGAAATCCTGATCCCCACGAGTTCATTGATCCAACTGCCCCAACTGCCACACGGTCAATACTGATGCTAGGAAGGTCCAAATTTCATTGTAAGACCAATAACTACACAGATGAATAATGGAAGAAAAGGACCTCTTTCTGCAGTCGCCAATCTGCATGATGTTTCCAGCAGATGGCCTGTCCTGGATGACTAGTAAGATGGACAACATACTCAGGAAATGCTGCACATTTTTCATGTGAAGCCATAAGGCACTTGATGCATCGCCATATATGATTCATCTTGTTACAAACATAGCATACCTGTTCAAGGAAAAGAAGTGACATTTAGGTTTATTGGTTGCTTTTATTAACAGAAAGTTGTGCTTCCTTTGAAGGGAAAGCTCAAAATTTAGATGAAATGGAGAGGTAAGATAATAAGAGAATCTACAATCAGCAATTGCTCCCAGTTCCAACAAGAAAGTAACTGGAACCAACATTTAGATTTTACGAAGCTCAATGATACTTACATGCTGTGGACACTTGAATTGTTTAGCTGAAGAGAATTGTAGCCTTTCTTTGGCACATTGCTTGTGCACAACTACCTGACAGCCTCGAACAGAGCACGATATGTCTTCTCCGGGGAACATTAAGTTGAAGCACAAAACGCACTCAACCTGGAATGAGCAACAAAACATTAACAACAAATATGTATATGCACAGCACAACACAATGTAAACTCCAATTAAAGGCAACTCACAACCAGATTGAAAACTGAACTCCTTCAAAAGAAAAGATTAAAAACTTAAGAAGACAATAAAAGGAATGTGTACCAGTTTTGGAGCTTTAACTAGGAAAGGTAGGAAACAGCGTGACTCGGGAACACCAGATTTGACTCTCCGCATAACCCAATCCTTAACAAAGTCGTCCAAGCTCTTGTTAGCAGTGGCAAGCCTCTCGCCCCGTCTCAATGGCACCGTAACCCTGGTTTCTCCATTACTCTCGCATTTAGACTCGTCTTCTCTAAGAGCAGTCCGGAGCTCCGACTCCGAACTCAAGTCGGACTCCGAATTCTCAATCGTCGAGTCGGACTTGCAATAAAATAAAGCATCCGAGTTGCAGATTTGCAAGTTCGGCTTTGGTTTCTGGGGATTCGGATTACAGTCTGGGTTGTTCAACTTAGCTGCCGACTTAGAATCGGCAGAAATTGAGGCTGAGGGCGGCGGAGCAGGTGGCTGTGGCGGTGGTGGTTCAAGAGAAATGGCGAAATCGGGCATTGTTAGGGTTATGGTATAGAGAGAGAAAGTAGAGAGAGAGAGAGTCTGAGAGATCGTGCTGAGAGAGAGAGAGAGATAGAGAGAGAGCTGAGCCGCGGGAGTGGGTAGTGGTTGAGTGATGAATTGTCACGCAAGTTTAATTTGGGCGGGAAAACAAAATTTGGGGGGAAATATATGGAGTGGTTTTTAATACTCCCTATATTTAACAAAATATAGGGAGTAAAATAAAATTAGGATCTACGGAGTATTTAACAATATTTACAATGTTTAAATTTGGTATTTTGGATATATTTCTAACATTTTAGAATTAATCTTAACATAAAAAATTTATTCAGAATATTAATGCTATTTGAAAACAAACGGTGTATAAATAAAATTGAACTAATCTTCATCTTAAGCAATTATTATTATATTTCAAAGGAAACGATAATAATTTTGGGAAGGATAATTAAGTTGGAGAGGACTAAGCGAATATTGATTGCGAATCCTTTGTGCGACAAGCTTGTGGTAGAAGAGATTATGAATGATGGAAATAGACATAAAAGAGCTAGAAAATGTTTGGAAATGACATTCAACTTTATAATCTCATTGAAGATATCATCTTAAATAAGAATGTCTAAAAATAAACTTATACGTGTTTACTTTTAGAGCTAAATGCACAAATAGTCATTGTGATCTTTCATAAATAAATTAGTAGATAGTTTTTGTACTTTCAAAAGTACAAAATAATCATAAAGTCAAATAGTTGTTGTATATATAATTCTTCCTCTAGGTTAAAAATTGAAGCACGCAAAATACGTGAAAATGTGAAGTATGAAATAAAACAAAATAAATGAGTTAACTAAGTCGTCTGTTTAATATTCATAGGGTCCAACATTATTCACTTTATTTCTCTATTTTTGTTTTGATAATAAAATAATATATTTATACCATCGTTTGTCTGTATAAGCTTTTGGTATAGTTTTTTAATATGTACATTTTTTAGTTTTCTCAAATTCTCTACTAAAATATATTGAAAATAATTTCAATCAAATATCGTAAATTAAAATAGACAATTTAAATTAGAACGGAGGGAATTATTATTGTTTTTTTAAACAGAGGGAGTTGTTTAATACAAGTACGTACTCTTCCCGTTCTAAAGACTTTTATAGTTAAAGTTATTTTTTCACAATTTTTTGCTAATGTGTTTCACTATTTGACGAAAAAATTGAAAATTGATAAAAAAAAATTATTAGGATCAAATGGAGTAATTTTCTTAAAATGATAACTATATTCGTACTTTCATAGTGATAGTAAAATGCTATATGTATACTAAATCGTTGTACACCAGTGTGCTACAGATACAGAGAGATAATAATTGTCTATAAATACATCAACAATACAAACAATTATTGCATGTGTGTACGCTAATATATAAGTAATGTAGATCCAAGATATCCCTTTATAAAAGAATGAAGACTTACCAAAAGATTGATGTAATGTGAGATGCACTATATGTCGATCACCCTATCCCTATCACAAGCCTATATATGGGAGTATTTTTCTTATATTCCTAGTGATAGCTATGAGTAATATTTTCTAGAAGTATGAATAATTTACTTATAAAAAGGATTCTTTCTTACTTTGAAGAAAAAAAATCGTTTACCTTCCGTTCTACGGCGCTTCCCATGTGTTCCAAAAGATGATGCTCTCTATTCAAAAAGTTAGAAATATGTGCACATAAATTCTGTGAAGTTGACCAATTTGTCTCAACATAAACAATGTTTAAACTAATGTGATGTTTTGTTCACGAATTTGAATGGGAAATTATTTAGATTATATTCTGGCAATTCCGTTAGAATATTACTATGCTAATTATAAGATCTTTGCAAATTGCAAGTACAAGCTCCACTCTCTTGCCATCAATCTATACTAAAAATCTATTTATTTCTTTTCAGTAACCGTTCTATCAGATTTGAGAAGACCTTTGTGAATGTGGCTCATTTTTGTTTTTAAATTCTACACATACGATTAAATAAATTAAACTGAAAGTAAAATTGATCAAATCCCTTAACGCGCAATGTGAAGATCTATAAAGAACGGAGAGGTGCTTAAATTACTCCGCTAATTATACCTCTACATATATTTCTACTACGAAATTATAGGTGCAACTGCATTCTATGGAGTATATCTGATCTTAATTAATAATTCCTCTATTTTCTTTGAGTGCCTAGATAGATTTTTGTTATTAAGCAAAGAAAATGAAAAACTAATCCCAAACACCACACACTAGAATGGTGGATCACTAAATCTTAAAAAAAAAAGGAAATAATAATTAATGAGCAAGTGAAAAATGAATATGCATGACACCACTAGTCATCTACTCATCTACATGCCCAACAAACAAAGCACATTAAAACATAAAAATTGTGGGGAGAAAGAAAAAAGGGAATGATAGTAGGTATGGAAGGAGAAATAGATGATCAATCAAGAAAAATCAAAACAATTGAGTGAGGAAAATTAAAACTGAAATACAAACTACCATCCAATTATTTACATAAGATAATGTCAGGGGTATGCACCAAAATGAAATACATTGTTTTATACATACCAAGCATGCACATACATTTCATGTCTCTGTGTGTGAATAAAAATTTGGTGTACAAATAAAGTACCTCATTTTAGTGTATCCCTAGGCTAATTCATTTCCATAAGTTGTTCACTCCATCCATTCATTGTGAATGTTGGTATTACTCCATTTGTCTCAAAATAAAAGTCATTTTAAATTTACAATGTTTAACTGACTGAAAATTTTTTCAAATCGGTATAAGTAAAAACAATAATGATTGAGTGGCCAGGGGTACTATATTAGAAAATAAAAACATATGATACGACATTGGGAAAACCACAATGTTTTAGTTTTTTATGCAAATTCTCCAAACAATTACTCCATAGTATTTAATTGATTGTACCAAATTTAAAAGGGGAAAATAACATGAATGAAAAAACTTTTTTAAAAGTTAAAAAAAAATACTCCCTATGTCCCATATTAGAATATAGTTTCTCATGTGCGAGGCAAAATCTTGCATTTTAAAATTTATTAATTTATTTAGAAATTGGTATGAGAATAATTAATAAATTTATGTATTAAAAACTACGTTAAAAATTCTACAAAATAAAAAGTGATAAAAATATTGTATTTGATCAAAAAATCATTTAAAATATATATAAAAAATAAATATTTTCAAAAGATAAATCTAAAAAACTTGTTACCAATGGTAAAATAAGACTAGCTAGAGAGGACTTTAGGTCATCACACTTTTATATAGACACATTGACAAAATGGTTTTGTGTCTGCATGGAAAGTTTGCCCATAGAAAGAGTAAAGGCAAAAACCCAATTCAAAAAGAATTGCACCATATTATTTTTGTATTACTCTCTTCTGTCTCAAAATTTCTTTCCCATTTAGTTTTTGAATTATTCAAAAATTTCTTTATCCGTTTTTTATTTTGACATTTAAAGAATTTTTATTATACTCTCACTTTTTATTTATATTATTTACTTTAAAATATCACATCAACCCCAAATATGAAAAATCTTTACTTTTTTATTTTTTTAATTAATGTGTCAAGTCAAAATGAGAAAGAAGTTGTTGGACACCTTTATAAATTGGGTCAAATGAAACCATGTGCCAACGGCCGTCCCTCAAACCTCGAAACTCTGTTAATGCATCTTTTCTATCTCTCTCTCCCTCTCTCGATTGATTAATTGTTGGACTCCGGCGGCGGCGAGTATCGCCGGAATTGAGTTAAACAGAGGCGACATTTGCGGAGCACGCGGATGAATCCGATGAAGCGGCGAGGCGGATACAGAGGAGTGGCGCAGAGCCTGAGAGTGGCGGCGCGCGGATCAGAACCTGCAGGTGCCGGAAAACGAGTCGACTCGGCGAAGGAGAGGTATCGGGCGGCGAAATTGGAGAGGAAATTGGTGAAATACGAGGCGTTGCCGGAGTATTTGCAGGACAACGAATTCATCCGAGACTATTACCGCTGCGAATGGCCTCTCAAGGATCTGCTCCTCAGCGTCTTCTCCCTGCACAACGAGACGCTCAATGTCTGGACGTGCGTGAGAGCAATTGCGAATCGTTTAATTTCGACAGAGATAATGTTTATTTATTTATTTATTCAGCCAGGCTTTGGGGAATTGGATCTGATGAAATGTACGTGTGATGAATTGCAGTCATTTGGGAGGAGCTTTGATATTTGTGGCGTTGACGGCGATGAGCTTGACGGAGAAATCCTCGCCGGAGAATCTGTTTGCTGCCGGTGTGTTCAGGTCAGTGTCAGAATATTCCATCTCGTCCCGCGCTCATTTTTTATGAGCCCGGTTCCATGGCCACTGGATTCCCGTGGCCACGGAAGCCACTGCCCCTACGAAGTTTCGTTCATAAAATTGATGGTTCCTACTCCCGTTAAACCCCCCGCCAAGTCCCGACCCAAATTAATCACCCCACCTACGTCAATTGCACCTCGTAAGTATAAAGTCAAAACTTTTGACTTTAAAATCAATTATACTTACGAGGCGCAATTGACGTAGGTGGAGTGATTAGTTTGGGTCGAGACTTGGGGGGCGTTTACCGGGGGTAGGAACCATCAATTTTATGAACGGAGCTCCGTAGGGGGCAGTGGCTTCCGTGGCCACTGGAATCTAGTGGCCAGGCTCCTTTTTTATACGCTTTGTAATTGTATTGTTTATCTACTCGCACTCTACACGATTTTTTTTTTTTGAATTAATCCTCTCATCTCACGTCTACACTACCATGGACAAGTAAATTTGGTGTGATTGATTTGATTACAATAAGAATAAGTAATAAGAAGAAAAAATAAGTTGAACGAAATGCTGCCTAAGTTTTTACTTTGACTAATGAGAGGAATAAAGAGAATACAGTTATTTTTGACTTTTCAATTTTAGCTTTGAATGTGATGAGTAAAAGTAAGTTATGATGAATTGATTATTAGTGAAAAAGAATGATTTAATATTTAGGACAAGAAAAAGTAGAGATAAAAGTAATTTTTAAAATAAAAAAGTAAAAATGTTTTGATGAAAGAGAGACAAATTAAAGAGGAAGTGTTTTCGATAGTAGTATTTTGTTTTTAATGCAATGCGAGTTCCTCAATACGGAGTAGATTCCATTGTTACTATTTTGGTTTTTCGATAATTTTTACTCCGTATTTATTTACATGTTTTTTGATGATTATTTGATAAAATAAAATAATTTTATATTTTTTTTGGAAAGAATTTTTTTAAAACAATTTTTTAATTTTATATTTTATAGAAATTTTGATGTAATTAAAAAAGTTACTTTTTATTTCTATACTAATTTGTAAATAAAATAGATTTAATAGTGTTTTTACATGTAAATCAGATTGGGCAATCCATTTAAAAAAAGTAGTGACAAAAAGGGTTTTTTCTATTGACATTACATGCGTAGTAGAGTCTATCCCGAGAATCTAATTTCAAAAAATTATCATTCAATTTTTTTTTGTTTGCAAAAGGAAAAAATAATTTTTTAATAGGCGATTCTTAAAATCAATTTTTTTAAATAGAAAATCAAAATTAATCAAAAGCCAAAATCAAAACTGGTCATGCACTTTTAATTGTTTAGACGTTCAAAATTAGTTAATACTCCGTAATTAACTTGAATTATCAAAAACACCTCATATGTGAATCTATCTCGAGTACATGATACAGCACAAGGGAGAGCCAAACCCTAAAAGCTAGCTGTTAAGGTGGGAGAACCCTTGGCTATATAAACCTATCACCAAGTCCTACATTTAACCGGTGTGGGACAATGAAATCAGTCCATATCAGTACATCTATGTTTTTTTAATTAATTATTTTTTAAATCCTTTTTCTTGCATGATTATGTTGAACAAAATTTTTTTACTACACTTCACATACTTTTTTAGTACTGAAAGTTCAATTACAATGTAATTTTTTGTTCACACTATTTTTAATCTAATGACACGCAATGAGTCAATGCTTCTTGAGACTCAAATTTTACAATAGATTTTGGAGAGTTGGCTTCTGACCGCTCGAGCTAAGAGACAAATAAAACAATGAATAATCTTTTCTTATTATGTTAGTTTCGAACAATAGAAAAAGTACAGTTAATCTGATCTGGGTTTTAAAATGACAGATTGGAGAGGATGAAACGCAACAAATCGGAATCGATTTACCCGGTGAGCTATTTCTCTCTGTACTGCATTATGCTCGAATAAGCCACAATTTAAAACTTCATGATCATAAACTAGGCCACGTTTGGGTGAGTTGTGGAATTTTAGTTTTATAAATGTTTTCTAAGCACATCCATATGTTCTATATCCAGGATCATAATTATCACCAAAGGAACCTTATAGGCTCATCAATCACAGACAATGTGAATTTCCCCATGTGGCCTTGGTTCATCTTCCTCGGAGGGGCAACTTGCTGTCTGGTACTAAGCTCTGTATCCCACCTCTTCGCCTGCCACTCACGGCGGTGCAACCTCCTCCTCTGGCGGCTCGACCAGTCTGGCATCTCCCTCATGGTCGTCGCCTCCTTCGTCGCCCCAATCTACTACGTCTTCGACTGCCACCCGCTCTCCCGGGTCTTCTACTTCGCCTCCATCACCCTCCTCGGCACCCTGGCCGCCGTCTCCCTCCTCTCCCCGGCCCTCACCTCCGGCCGGTTCAGATCCTTCAAGGCCGCCGTCTTCCTCGCGCTCGGACTCTCCGGCATCGTCCCCGCCGCACACACTGCACTCCTGTACGGGCATCACCCCCAAGTTGCGGCGGCTCTCTGGTGCGAGATGGCCATGGGGGTGCTTTACGCGGCTGGGGCGGCGTTCTACGTCGCTAGATTCCCGGAGAGGGTGGGGCCCGGCAAGTTTGACCTCGTCGGGAGCAGCCACCAGATCTTCCATGTGTTGGTGGTCGCCGCCGCGCTTGCGCACTGCGTGGCCACACTTGTGCTCATGGATTGGCGGAGGGGATTGCCGCACTGTGGCGGTGCTTAATGTAGATCTATTACGGAGCATCAATGTATCCTTATGTATGCATGAAACATGGGACATTTTGAGAATTTACTCTTAATTAATTATGTATAGAGAGCATTGTGATTTACCATACTTCTTCACATGAATTAGTTTCTTCCACCCTTCTATAGGCAAATTCATTTTTCTTAAGGTCCCGTTTGGTACAAGGAATTCAAATTATGGAATTGGAATTGACTTCATTTCCAATTCTAGTGTTTGGTAGCATGAATATTATGTGGATTTGGAATTGATAGTGCGAAAAATGAATTGAAATTGGTGAATTCAATTCTATGGAATTGAATCACATGGAATCCCAATTCCAATTCCACCAATTCCGTATACCAAACGGACTCTAATTGTTAAGAATTGGGAATGTTTGAATAGACTATATTCATCAAATGAGGTAAAGCGTTTAAAATATAGAAATACATTTTCGAGATAAACTATACTGTGTAGAAAATATAGAATTTAAAAAAGAAGATAAAGGAGTCAATTACCTTCAATTTGGTCATTTCAGCAAAAAATGGTGCATCATTCTTTGTTGTCATTGCAATGTAGAGCAAGCAATCCGTTAGTATATTGACTCCGCGCCTTCCTATACTTGCCGAGCAGTGCGACATAGATTGGCTGCACATCCTCAAACACTACTCCGCTGCAGAAGTTAGATTTTACCTGGTCAAAAACAGCTTCTGCTTCGTCTCTGTTCCGGCTAATAATCTCTTTGAAAACATCATTTGCATCTGCTAAATGGATACTAGTGATGTCCGACTCGTGTTCCTCCCCCCTCGGTAAATGCCGCAGCCATTTGAAATGAGAGAAGGGATCTTCTTGTTTCTGAACGGCTGCTTCAACATGCTTCAAGACATCGAAAAATCTTGACTCGCTCCTTATTTTACTGATCACGTAGCTGAAAATCTCCTTCTGGTTGATGAGGAGCCATTGAGAATGTTCAGATGCACGGGAGAGTGCACCAACCAAACAAGCCTTTCGGAATGTTGGGTCACTATCACCTAAAAGTTTCACTGCGGTTTGAATCAGGATTTCTGATGTATTATGCAAAACCAGTGATTCTGAATCTGCGAGTATATAATCACTCATCCTTTGCCTTCTACACCAATGGTAGAAGGCAACATGAGCGAAGCCTTCCCACCTGCACTCGCAATAACATGCATTCATCAATATGATTTTGAATTAAGTTAGGGTTCGAGAGAAATAACACTCCCTCTACGTATAAATCTTTTTTTTAATGCTTGGTCTTACCTTGGATAATGCATATGAAAATGAAATAGGATTAAGGTTTTAAATTTTCAAATTTTCAAACATATATAGATCTCAAAGTCTTCATATAATTGAAATAAAATGATATTGAATCAAACATTGAATTTTAAAACCATTTACCTCTACCCCACAAAGAAGGGCACACAAAAGCACTTACTCAAATGGGGGTTCAACTTCAATGGAAAGAGTTAGATGCAAGGAAAACCCAGTGCTTGCATCACCGAAAGTATGCGCTTCGTGAGGGTACCCTCTGGGAATATATAAAATATCACCCTCTTTCAGCAAAATTTCTTTGCATTGATCCATTGTACACCTTTCCCTCTTCTCAATAGATTCATACAACCGAGGCAAGTGATTATTGGACGGGTGAAAAATATTCCACCTTTTGGCACCAACGAGTTGGCAGATAAAGACACAATGATCATCACTGTGACAAGCTAACCCCTGACTATGCGGAGGTGTCAAGTACATGTTTACCCCTATTGAAGGCTGACCAAATATAGACGCCACATCATCTGCAACAGAAGCAATGCCAGGAGATCGAAATCCTATGCCACGCAAAGCAATTGTATACTCCTTGCATGCTTGCTCACACTTTAGGATTTCAACACTCCGGAAGACGTTGGGAAATTCATAGTTGCCGTCATCTAGTTGTGTTTGGAAATAGTGCAGCTCAGATTCTGAATCAAGTGTTTTGACAACCCGAATATCCTCTTGGTGAACAATAGGACAACCTAAACTATTACTTACATCGTTTAGGAAATGAAGAATATCAAGTTCATCTGAAGGAATAGGTGGACAATGAATGAGCCCCCTTAGCATTGAAGATAGAAAGGAAGGGTCCGACTCCCGTAGTCTGTCAAAGTCTATAAAAGAACTGAACAAATTTTGCAGCTTAGAGTTTCTTACCAGAAAAGGTAATGATTCCCAATTGTTCAACACAAAATCTTCAAAGTTGAAATTTTCTGCATCGAAAATCCCAATTGAAGGTCCTCTGCGTGGAACAACATCAATGTAGAGCCTGAAGACACTTTCAGCCAAATTGTTAGTTCTGATATTGCTTATGTAAGAAGCTTCTTCCTGTGTGGAATTCTCAGAAATCCCATAAACCATATGTTGATGCACTTCTTCCCACATCCTTTTCAAATGCAACAGTAAAGGCCTAGATAGTATTGTTGGAATCTTATGCAGCTGTTCAATTGTGCACGAGTTGACGAGAATTATGATAGCATTCACAAGCAATATTGATAATCCATTGTGCTTGAAAACAATTGTGGGACAGGTTTCAGTATATTTTGCATCTGCAAGCAGAGACACCACAGGAGTATATGATTTGGGGACCTGAAAGAGGCGAACACTAACTAATGATAAGTCAGGGGTTAGTAGATAATCTTATCGGACCATTAGTTATAGCGTAAAATTGTCTCCAATGAGATATACAAAGAATATTTTGGAAAAAAAACATACGAATTCTAAAACATTTCTTATCCAAGATCAAATTATGCTTAATATGGGACAGGAAAATAAAAGATCAAGTAAAGAAGGCAAGCTAGTCACTAGTGAGAAAAACTAAAAATGGCTCTCTTGCACCACAAAAATGTGAGCTTTATCTATGTCATCATTGAGCAAGTCGGGGGAGGAGGGGAGTTTGAAGGGGTTGGCAGAGGAGAATTGTTTTTTTCCCTAATTTATCTATGTTTGTTAATCCTAGATTAAAAAATCACTTTCATTTCAAATTAGCTAATGTAGAAACAAATTAATAAAAATAAATATCAACCCCCGCCCCCGCACTTCAATATCCCCTAAACGAAAAGGGGCGAGTGAGGATGATGATACAATAGAAACATTTTATTATCAATGCTACAGCGATAAGCATGTCTGGATCAATTCACTTTCAATGCATATTAATGAAAAATATGGAGGGAAAAGGTACTCACATTAGATTTTCAATAGCAAAAAACTCCACGAGCCATTTTTGTCCTATCGATGTGGTCGAAAGATCCAGAATAGAATTACATGAAGCCATTGATCTGACATTATTAGAACTTCTCAACAAAGTAACCAACCCCTTCACAATCTCCCCTTCAGAAGCAATCTTTTCATTCATCTCAAAGGATATCAATGTTAAAGCTCCAACAATCTCCGCACTTTTGCATGCAACTTCATCATTTCTTTGGTTGAAAAAAGCACATCAAATGTCAGTGCATTGCTAAAGCAGCACATTGCACATATATTTACTCGACAATACTTGCAACATGATGATGACAAAAAACTATTTTACCATTTTGTTTGTGAGTTGGGATGTGAGGGGATGTTTTAAGAAAATACTAGCATTAACCTAAGATAAATGATGTGTTTATGGAGTCTTTTGGTTAGATCATTACAATTTACAAACCAGTTTTGAGTGACCCTAATCCAGTTATGAATAAGAGTTAAGGCACTGAATTCAATTAATTAGTGTAGTTTGGAGTGGGTAGAGTATGGTCCTCAAACGGCGGATTGACTGAAATTTATCACATCCAAAGGAAAATGAGACAGAAAGTGTGCATTTGAAAGTAAATCACATTTGGAGAAAAAAACACACTTAATAATTGGACAAACTACCTATGAAGTTTCACTGCAGTTCTCCATTAGTGCAAATTGTAATGACTAACCCCCTAATCTATTGAATCAAACAACAATCTAATGGATAAAACCATTAAACCTAATTAACAGAGAAGGAGACTTCGACATCTTACCTGGATCTTAAAAGGACGGGAATCAGGGAGAGGATTGGTGCGGAGAGGTTATGCGGAAGAGAGCGATGGAATTTCCTCAAGCATCGGTGAATGAGAGAGTAATTTTGATCTTCGGAGTTATTACTTCGGGAAATAGCCGCGAGAATTATTGCGAAGGGATTGGCGTCGGATTCTGGGCGCCGCCGCCGCTTATTCTGCCGGGGGTTCTTATGTTCAGCCTTCGCCTCCTCCATATTTCGGCGGTTCTTTTGTTCCGCCTTCACTTTTCTTCACAAAATTTGTAGAGCTTAAGTGGATCGTCCGGTTTTTTTTACAGGGTCCTGACTACTGAGTAAAAACAGCAAATTTTTTACTCACTTTTAGCAAATTTTTTACTCCATTTTTGTACTCCATATAATTTTTTTAAAAATTTTTAAAGTAAATTCTAAAAATAGTATCCAATAACTATGTATTTTTTCAAATTAGTTCTTAAGATGAACAATTACCGAGACCGTACTCGTTAATTGAAAACAATGTCCAGTTCAATCTCTCAACTAATGAACTAATCTCATCAAAATGGCATCAGAACGAGATTAAAACTTATATGAGTATTTATTTTCTAAAATAATCATTTCTAATTGAATGTTTTTTAAAATTAGCCAATTTCGAAACAAAAACTCATAAAAAGTGGTCTCCCCAATTCGTTCAAACACCGTAAATTAATTAAAAATGAAGAATCTTGCTTCGGCTTTTCATATTAAATGAGTTTTTACATTGAAAATACACTAATATGAAAAAACATTCAATTATAGATGATCAATTTGGAAATTAGTATAAGTTTTAATGCCGTCTTGAAGACCGTTAGTTGGAGGGACTAAACTGAGCGTTATTTTCAATTAGCGAGTACCATCTAGGTAATTAGTTCATCTTGGAAACTAATTTAGAAAAATACATAGTTACAGAATACCATTTTGAGAATTTACTCTAAATTTTTAGAATTACTACTACTTTCGTCTTGAAATGTTCTTCTCAGTTACTATACAGTCGGTCAAACTTTAATCACTTTCTTTACTTATTTTTGTTAGTTATTTGAACTCCATAAAATAATTTCAATCAAACATTACAAATTAAAACAAACAATTTAAACTGAGTCAGAGAAAGTAATTAAATTTATATTTTCAAAAAACATGCTCCTTTCTTAATGGTCTCAAACCAATTAGTGTAGTATTCATTCAATCTTTTAATCTCAATCTTTTAAAGACATGGACGAAACTCATATACTGGATGTGAAGAAACTTGGAGTGGCTTTTTTTGCCACTATGCCAAGATGCTTCCACCATAAACCATGTTCTTGTAATCTTGTACTACGTATTTTTAAAAGGGAGTCCATATAATTCATCTATCTTGCACAACTATGGTCTCTTGTAGAGCTTGCAAATCGATCAGTGAGGTCAGGTTTGAGTTCGATCACTTCAGGTTCAAGTTACTTACGGTTCGAGTCAATTCGTGTTCGAATAGAGAATTGTATGTTCATGATTCATTGTCACCGACAGGTTATGATTTTTTACTTTTTAAAATTTTTAAATTCACATAAACTACTTTTTGCATTAATTAAAATTAAAATATTAAAAAACATGTATTAGATCTATTATTTTATTTTATTTTAAATTCCTGAAGTAAGTTCTAGGAATATAAATCAATATAAAAAATTTAAAAAAATGCATAACTTTCAGAAAAAAGTAAGAATTCAATATCATTAAAGTTTTGTCCAAAAATATAAATTTATGGACTAAAAACGAAGAGTAAAAAAAATAATTAGAACCTTATTTTTATAACATAATAACATTATATTTGATAGTAAAATATATGATTTTGAAAAAAATTAACATTAACGGATCGGTCAGGTCGGGTTTGGATTTGATCGGGTTTGACCCATTTTGAGCAGGTCATTTCGGGTTCGGTCAACAAAACCTTTGTCCAAAACCTAGTATTTTTGGGTCGGGTTTCGGATAAAAAACAGGTCAGATTATTTTTTGCCAGGTCCAGTCTCTCGCTCATTAACACCCTTGAAAAATGTACCCAGCAATACTGTAATATAATATGAATACTGGTAGGGAGGATGTGATAGTGATCTTTTTGAAACATAACTCCATATCTTGGAAGACGTAAACAGTCTAAACACCAAGATATAAACTGAATGAATATAAACCAGATAATACCATTGGACTTCACCAAGACAAATTGAAGAGGAAAAGGTTCTGTCCTCTGAATCAAAATTATTTCAAACATAAACAAGAGGGCTAAGGATCATACACAACATAAAAGATTAAATGAAACACTTACTAATGTGAGATTCATTCATTTCAAACTCTGTCCAAAGCCATGCCTTTCTTTTTCTTTGATAATTTAGATGACGGTTGGAAGCCATTGTGCTCACTCGCGGCGAATTGGGCAGCTGTGCGGGCTCGCAGTTCCTCTAAGCTCTCTCCTTCTTTAGCTCTTTCCATAACCTGAGATGAAAGAAATAAATAATAGGTTCACATAAAACTGCACAACAAATCATGAAATTGGGTGCGTTGTAATTTTTTTCCGGGGG